TATATATTTTAGTTGTAGTTGGAAACAATACCTTTATTTTTATGTTTGCACATGCGAGGCGAACGCTTACCACTGAGCCACAACCCCAGCCCTATATGGTTGTATTTTAAAAACCTATCTAGATAGTAAAAATGAGAATGAGAATAGCATCCGTGCCTAATACTTCCTAATCCTTACTGAGGAGTGATTATGAGCATGAAACCTGGTGTCAGATTGACTGGGTTCATGTCCAACTCTACCACTTTCTAGCATATGTCATAGGCAAATTATAACTGTTTCATGCCTCAGTTTCTTCATATGCTAAATGGAGATAATAATGGCTACCTTAAAGGGTGATTGTGAGTTAATATTTGTAATGTGTGAAGAGGGCCTGGCATATATTTTTAAAAATCAATAAATATTGGCTTTAAAATTATTAAGTATTTACTCTATTCCAGGCACTGTGCTATGCTTTATAGTTAATTTCTCTTTTATAAATAGGATTGGCATTATTATTATCTTTAATTTACTATAAATAATCTGAGGTTTTGAGAGAAGAAATACTTTATCCAGTGCCACAGTTAGCAAGTGCCTGTGATTTGAATCCAAGAAATTTGACTCTTACCTGGAACCACTGATATCCTAATTTTGAATCAGTCAGGCTAACAAAAAGAAATAACTTGAGTATAATTTATAATTATAATAAAACGTTGGTTGGAAAAATGTTTTTATGTGCTTAGGAAAATTTATATTAGAAAGTAGTAAAGGTTTGTGGACTTTACTCTAAGGGCATAAGGGTTACCAGTATTCGCATATTCATGGCAGAATTTACTAAATATTTAGTAAATGTTTTAGAATTTAATAAGGACAAAGTGAAGGAGAGAGCCTGGCCTGCCCTGAACGCCCCCTGGAGGCCCAATTGCCATTTTTCAGTCTACCTTTTGTTCCCCACCCAGGAGAGGCTTGGAATGCCCTCTAGTGGTTGTTAATAGTACATATTTTAAACAGAAAAATCTTGACAGTTATGAAAATAACATTTTAAAATATGACTTAATTTTACTGACTTGTTTAGTATAAAAATTCTATATTCAAAATTCAAATCTATAATAGGATTTGATTAGCTTGTATACTTCATAAAAGGGTCCACAGTAGGAGATTGAACATTTTTTTTTAAGAGATAAAACAGATGAAAAAGTTATTTGTTTAGAAAACTATATTTCTATAATTTTTTAATAATTTTTTTAAAGAGAGAGAGAGAAAATATTTTTTAATATTTATTTTTCAGTTTTTCGGCGGACACAACATCTTTGTTTGTATGTGGTGCTGAGGATCGAACCCCAGCCGCAGGCATGCCAGGCGAGCGCGCTACCGCTTGAGCCACATCCCCAGCCCTATATTTCTAAATTAGGAAGGAACTTGGGATAATTTTCTTTTCTAAGTTACAATGGGGATTTAACACATATGAGGTCATGAGAAAGGATAAATTCAGAACCAAGTCATGACTGGTTGTAGGGAGAGAAAGCAGAGGTTGGATTTTATTTATTCATCCGTCAGTTGATGGGCATCTGGGTTGGTTCTACCTTTTGACTATTATGAATAATGATGTTATGATCATTTGAGTATGGCTTTTTGTGTGGACATATGTTTTAATCTGTCTTGGGTATAATCTAAGAGAATACTTGCTAGGGCATATAGTAACTCTGTATTTAACATCTTGAGGAACTGACAAACCGTTTTTCAAAGTGTATTTTACATTTCTACCATTTCTGTACATTCTTGTCAACACTTATTATCATCTTTTTGATTCTAGCTCCATAGTAGGTGTGAAATTATATCTCATTATGGTTTCATTTGCATCTCTCTGATGCCTAAGATGTTGACCATCTTTTCATTTTCTTAATGGCCATTAAAAAAATCTTCATTGGATAACTGTCTATTCAGATTTTTTGATTGCTTTTAAATTGGGTTATTCATCTTTTATTATTGAATTTTATGTGTTCTTGATATATTCTAGATAGAATTCCTTATTAAATATGTGATTAAATATTTTCTCACATTCTGTGGACTTTTTCACTTTCTTAATGGTATTTTTTGAATTACAAATGTTTTTGATTTTGGTGAAGTCCAATTTATCTACTTTTTCTTTTGTTGCTTGTGCTCTGGTGTTATATCTAAGATACCAACCATTGCTTACCTCAAGGTCACAAAGATTTACTCCTACATTTTCTTTTAAGTGTTATAGTTTTTGCTCTTGTATTTAGGCCTTTGATTCATTCCTTAATTTAATTGTCTTGATGTTCTTTTCAGTAGTACCATTATTTGTTGCAGTGACCAAAACCTATGTGACAGAAGCTTCAAAAGAAGCATTTTTGGGTGGGATAGGAAGGAAGAGCATGAGAAGAAGACTACCACTAAATAGGGAAGAGAGGTGGGAGGGAAAAAGAGGGAGAAGGGGAGTTGCACAGAAGATGGGAGGAAAACCTCATTGTTATACAGAATACATATATGATGTTGTAATGAGAAAAAGAAAAAAAAAAGAGTGTGTCACATTAGATTGGATAGAGAGAAAGGATGGGAGAGGAGGGGAGGAGTAGGGAGGATAGGAAGGGCAGCAGAATAGAATAGACAATATGATTGAAGTATGTACATTCCATGTATGTATTATATATCAAAATGCATTCTACTGTCATGTATGACTAAAAAAAATAAAAATTAAAAAAGAAGCATTTTTGGGGTGCTTGGATCCATTCTTTTTGTTTGGTATGGTCCTATGAGCTTTAGATTATTTTCTGATTTGAGAGACTGTGTGTGGGTATTTTGAAACTGCAAGTATATTGTCTATAAAATGAGGAGTTGGACTCTGTGATTCCTGAAGTTACATTCAGGAGGACATTCTGTGATTCTGTGTAACCATTACTTAATTGTCTTAATGTTCTTTTTGACAGTGCCCTTATTTGTTGCAATGACCAAAACTCACGTGATAGCAGCTTCGAAAGAAGCATTTTATATTTGGCAATATCGTGTGGCAAAGAAGCTCACAGCACTGGAAATTAATCAGATAACGCGATCCCGGAAAGAAGGAAGAGAAAGGTATCTTTTTTGATACATATTTTAATAGTTTAACCATATCACATTAAAACCAGATATAGTAATTATAAATTTTCATGCTTGAGAAAATGCCAGTTGCCTTGATTAGTACAAAATATTTTTCCATTAATACGAATATTTTTCAGATTGATCCATTTCAAATTTCTCAAAATAAAAGAGAGATAGTATGGTGTAATAAAAGAAAATCCTTGGAGATAAAGGCTAGAGACCTTTGTTTTTTGTAATGAAATTGCTGTCTTCACTCACCTACCCCCAAGATACTAGGGTTATTATGTTTACTGAAATATGATTATTAATTTGTAGTCCAAGGATCTATCTGAAGCTTCATTCTTTTGAGTTAGTGGTACAGAGGACAGGCTGGTCCTGAGGCACAGGTATGGAAGAGGGGTTGAGTGTGGTACACTGGGGACTTGGCTTCTTTCCCTTGCTCTGGATTCCAGGGAGTCTGGAGTTGGAATGGCTGTGATAAGTGGGGGTAAGCTGTTCCACGTGAGGAGCCTGCAGGAGGGACTTCTTATAGTAAGTCTAGGTGAAGATGCATTTACAGTGTTTTCTAAGTTATTTTGTCTCTGTTTGCTATTCTATGGTTGTTACCTTAAGTCTTTAAATAAAGCATTTTGTCATGTGTGTTAACCTGACAGCTCTGAATGAGGGTACAGGCATGTGTTGGTGGGACTGGGTTGCAGAAGTCAGCTCAGAAATCCCAGGCTGCTTTTTCAAACTGCTTTTTCAAACCATCTTCTGCCCTCATATACACTTGATATCTTAATACAACTTTCCTGTCCCTTCATGACTTACTCAATTACAAAATAGGAGGTTTGTCCCCAGTAAAAGTATTTGGGACTTGCGAATTATGTGGAAGCAGAAACTGTTGAAAAGTAAATATCAGCAGTGCTACAAGGTTAGCTGGAGAGGGTCTTTGGCTTCCTTGAGGGTAGTTCAGTAGTCCTCTGGAGGATTTCCTGTAGTAGTGATGATAAGCAGAGACCTTCAGTCTCTGTAGAGAAGCTGGATCTTTGGACATAGTTGCATAGGGTGGGAGGGAAAGACCCAGCATCTCTGTGTAGCCATTGTCCTCTGTTAGCCAGTTGTAGGAATTCTAGTTTCTGTTTCAATCAAGAAGACAGCACTTCCTTATCTTCCTATCTGGGATGTGTTTACTGGTATTTGGAGCTGGTTCTCCTCGGATCTCAGTTTCCTCATCTGTAAAATATGTTGATGGTAGTGGTAATAGCCAACATTTATTGAACACTTCTTATGTGCCAGATCCTTTCGTAAATCTAATAGGTATTTGTATTATTCCTGTTTCATAGAGGAAACTGAGACACTGAGCTTCAGTTGTTTGCCAAAGGTCATCAGGTGCTAAGTGTAGATGTAGTTAATCTGACTTGGAACCCTTTTCCTGGGACTGACCTTTCTTGTGTCTTTCTGGTTTTAAGAGAAGGCACTGGGTTACATGATCTCTTGAGGGAACTGCTGTTCTAATCTTTGACTTCTTTTGTAATAATTGTGTAAGCCTAGATATGTTTAATAGAAATGTGTTAAAATGCAGAAACATGTACCGATTTAGACATACCCTGTTTCTATATTTTAGTAGTTGTCTATTAAATTTCTTTAAAATTCTATGTACTTATTATGTTGATGATGTACAATTATGATTTCAGAATAATTATAAAATTTTATGGTATTTTAAAAATAGAAAATGGCACGGTTTTTCTGTGATTATACTATAGCTGCAATTTCTGAGCCCCTGTTTGTGTTAGGCTCTATTTATTATGTGCTTTATAAACATCACTTTATTTTTGCCTCCAGAAACGCTAGAGGAGGATCTTTACTGTTGTTTTACAGAGAGAGAAATTGAGGCTCAGGGAAGTGAAGTAATTTGCCCAAGGCCTTGGAGCAAGGATAGTATTTTAGTAATTCTTTAAATTTTTTTATTCATTTTAATAATTATTCAGCAGATATTATGGCACTTGAGAGTGTGTGGCACTGTGCTGGGGACTGGAGAGTCTTTGCCTCCAGGAATCTCACCACCTAGTGGGAGTCAGTGGACGAGTAAACCAGCAATGACGCTCCACTGCAATTTGAAAAAGTATTGTAATATGGTGCCAGGGAGATGGCAGGGGTCCACAAGGGGCGTATCTTCTTTAATTAGTGCTTCTCAAGTCCATTTAAGCTTTATTTTTATTAAACATACTGACATAAGGGAAATTATGGAGAAACAACAGAGAAAGTTCATGGAGTAGGAGTTAATCCTGACAGAGTAAGGTAACCTCTTCCTCAGAGCTTGATGAAATTCAACGGGAATATGTAATTGAATGGTCAGATATATTTGGGGCACAGCTATCAGAAGCAGCTTACTTAACTGTAAATATCTGGTAGATACCTTATGAAACTAAGCTATATCAAGAATTATTTAAAATAATCAGGATTTTTATTAAGTAACAATATTCAGTAGTGTCACCCAATCCTTTCATTGTTATAAAGATTATGAAATAATATAACCTTTATTAAATTTTCTTTGGAATTCTAATTTTTTAACAGAATTTATCATGTTGATGATACTCCTTCTGGATCAGTGGATGGGGTCCTTGATTATAGCAAAGCCATTCAAGTAGGTGATTTTATTTTTCCCAGAAAAGATTTATATTTTGTAGATTTGGAAATATTGTAATTTTATTTGGAGAACTGAAAAAAGAATTCATTTCCAGTGAATGGGATGTTATTTTAATTTTTTTTCTATTCTGAAAAACTTTTTTTAAATCTTAAAAAACTCTTCAATGAAAATGAAAGTGGTGATAAGTAGCTAATAGGATAATAGAAAAACTAATTATCTAAAAGCATTGGGGAACATACTTTCTCCTCACTTTCTTGCCCTCCTCTCTCAGCTTCTGTCTATCTTATTGTCTGTGATCTATCACTTGGTCTACTGACCATAGATTGGCCTGTCATCTCTGGCATATTCGTGAGTATACCAATTTTTGTAGGTAGCATAGTTCATTCTATCTTTGTGGAAGTATACTTTTGTTTATAAGCTAATATAATTTAATATTTTAGTAAGCAATTTTGTTTTTGGTAAGATTTTTCTAAGAGTATTTAAAGCTCTTTCTTATCTATTTTCTTATCTGATGCATCTAACCAGATAGTATGGAGTCTCCTCTCTATCTTATAGAGAAGAAAACTGAGAGTAGCAAAGTGAGGATTCAAATTTAGATCTTTTGACAGCAGATCTAGATCTGTTCACTAGAATATGCAGGAGTCCCTCTGGTCATCTACAGTGTCCATCCATTTATTCAACAGGTATTCACTGAGTGTCTATTATGTATCATACATTGGATGCTGGAATCTTCTGGTGAATAAGAAACAGTCCCTTCCATTAGGAAACTTTTGGGAAATTCCAAATCGATTCATCATCAAGCAGTTCTTTCCCCTACTCTCACATAAAGTAGACTGAAATCTCTCCCATCTTAAAAACAAGTTCCACTGTCAGCCATATGGATTCTTCTAACTACTGCCTTATCTCTTTATCCCTTTAGAGCTAAACTTCTTGAAAGAATATTTTACATTCATTTTCTTTGCCTTATACATTCCATTTTCACTTCATTGCCATTTGATTTCTAGAGGCCTCTGAATCGCCAACTCTGATAGGAATTTTTTTATATTCTTTGATCTGTATGTGACATTTAATATGTTTGATCATTCTTTTCTGCTTGGCTTTCATGGAACCACACTCTTGATTTTGTACCTGTCTTTTCCTTGTCTTTTTTTCCCTCTGTTACTGTGGTGTCCCCTCATGTCCGGACCTAGACCATCTCTTAATACTCTCTTCTCAGTGTTCTTTTAGAAACCCACCCTTTATCTATATGTGGATGACTGTAATATCTTTCTAATGTTTCTAGTTTATAATAATATATTTCTTGCTGTTTGGGTATAATAAATTGGATGGCTTGAAAGCACCCCAAATTTAACCTGAGTATGATTCATCTTGCCTCCAAATCCATTCCTCTATATGCATATATATGTCAGTGACTGGTTCTGCCATCTGTGCAAAAATCATGAGAACTCCTTTTCTCTTGCTCTTTGTGTCTAATAAATTGCCAAGTCCCCGATTTCTCTCAAATTTGCGTCCCATCTCTATATTAGTTCAGTATCATTAGTTCCCGTCTAGATCACTGCAGTAAATTTCCATTCACTATCACCCAAGAGAACTTTCTGTGACAATGGAAATATTTTATCTTTGCTCAGTGCAGTAACCACTAGCCATATATAGCTACTGAGCACTTAAAATATGGCTAGTTCTGCTGAGGAACTGAGTCCAAAATTGTATTTCACTTTAATTAATGAAACTTTACATTTAAATGGTGACATATGGTGGGTGGCTATGATGTCTAATGGCACAGCGTAGCCTCTTACTTTCAGGCTTCCACATCCTCCCAGCGCCAACCCATTTGTCATATTGCTGGCCAGTGCGCTGTATAAAATGTAAACCTGGGTGGGGCATGGTGGAGCAAGACAGCACCGCAGCTGCCTTCCCCTGCTCACCAAATATTAACCTTCAGCAGATTATTATATTTTTAGGAATAAAGTATAGATACCCCCAACTTCTCCCCTCCCTCACATTGTCCCTTCCTATCCACTTTTTCTCCTGCACATTCCTCAGCTGTGCTAAATAACTTGCAGTTTCCTGACTATGCCGGGCTGATGTTTTCTTTAGATTTATTAAAAAAAATATTTTGAAATGATTGTAGGCTCCCAGGAAGTTGAAGAAATAGTCCCATTACTCTACTTCCTACAATGGTGACATCTTATGTAATTGTAAAATGACATCCAAACTAGGAAATTTACATTGATCCAATACTATTACTAGACTGGGGCCTTATTCCTAATTCAGTTTCCACCAGTGTTTACATACAGTTGTGTGTATGGAATTTTATTATCAGAAAAATACTCCTTTCAGTGCTACTTATGCATGTTTTCATCTACTCACCAGCCCATCCATGTTGCCTGGCAACCACTGATCTGTTTTCCACCTGTATAATTTTATCAGTTTGAGACTGTTTTGTGAATGGAATCACACAGTGTGTAACCTGTTGAGATGGGCTTCCCCCCCAGACATGATGCCCTGGAGGTGGCTGCAGTGCCATGCCATTTGACTTTTCCTCCTGGCATGTGCTGGCCCTGCTGTTGTTGGTTCATCTTTTAGAGCTAGACTTTCACCCATCTTGCTGTAGGTTAGATGCTTCTCCCTCTCTGCTCTCATAACCCCTGTCTGTGCCTCTTTTTCTATCATGCTGTCTACAATTAAGTGTTCAGTTCAGCATCTCTCCCAGTACACTTTTGAGTTACACCTGAGAGTAAAGATTTAATTTGAGTATGTGGTTGGCACATAATAAGTGCTCAGTAAGTAAATTTCTTTTTAAGTTAATAAATACTTTATGTACAATATTCTTTTCTTCTTCTTTGTCCTCTTTCTCCTTCTTTTGTTTTTTGATCCTGGGGATTGAACCCCAGGCCTCCCTCATGATATGCATACACTCTACTGATGAGCTGTACCCCCAACCTGCCATATTCTTCTTAGTGAATTGCATTTATCTTTTACAGATTAAGCATGCAATAGGTATTTATTGAATAATAATAATTGGTTATTTGTTTTAGGGCACAAGAGATCCAATTTGTGCCATAACTGCATCTGATAAGACACTCATTGTGGTAAGTTGGAAAAAACTTATTTTATAAGTAATGATTGTTTAAATTTTAAAAGTAAGTTAAAGCAATGATTTTTGGATATGAATAGCATCTTGTGAGTACCCCACGTTTTACTGAGTCTAATGTAAGAAAGGAGAATGTTTTCTAGCTAACCTCACAAATTAATCATGTACAAAAAATGCTGTTTATAAAGGCAGTAAAATGATGGCTATCTGAGAAGATAAAGTACATTTAGAGTTTGACACCAGGTTGAAGGAGCCCTATAAAGGGTTGAAAGATGTGCGATCAATTGCTTGGTGGTAATGGGATTTAGAAAGTTTTCTCTGTCGTCTGCTATTTTATATTGAAGAAAATGCTTTGGCTCAGCTACTTTCATACAACTTAGAATGAAGAGGTGGTGTTTGCCAGCCAGTAAAGTAGAGAGGTTGCCGGCAAATGTCTGTTGAACTTTGCAAATAGAATCAATGGTATAGTGTTTTTTCCTGAGCTCTGACATTTGAAAATATTAATTTTAGAAATAAGTGCTTACTTTAATATAGTAATACTGGTGGAGTTGCATTGGAATTACAGAAACAGACTAAATAGTATATATTTCCAGTTTTACTAACATTTGTTAGCTGTTAGCTAATTTTATGGGGGAAAAAACTCCAAAGTGCCCTGTATTCTATAGTATCCCCACCTTTTTGACAGGCTCCTCTTGGTTTAGAGGAAAGAGGTCAAGACTGGCTGTGTGGACCTTCCACTCTTTCTTTTGGCCAGGGCTTGAAAACCGTAGCACTCTCCTGTCTGATATACTTGCTGCCAATCTGTCAGTCTTGATGTTTTCCCAGAATTACATAGAAATGTATATTTAGTTTTATTTTTAAAAACATACTTAAACAAATATTCAAGATTATAACTATTTTCAGGTCATTTTTTTTCCCTTACCAAAACTAGAGTTAGAAAAGTGGCTATAGGATAAAAATCCAAGACTTGCAAACAGCTGTTTCATACCGTGATCTTTTATTGATTTTTCATTCATATGAAATTTAAATCAGCAAGCGCTTTATGCTTTAGCTCTTAATGTATCTTGAACATTAACGTAGATAGCAACTAGAAACAACTGTAGATATTTCTTCCTTGTGATGGAAGAATTTACATATTACTAAAGCACTAGGTTTTTGACTTCTTTCTTGAACATTATGTGAAAAAAAATCATTTCATCGTTAGCCACTTTAAAAAGGTTTAAATTAAATTAGGAGATAAGTATATACTTAATGATATAATTCAGTATCAGAATTGGAAACTTGCAGGACAATATCATTTTGGTTTTAAAACACACGTGTAGATGTATAGAGAAATCTGCAGTTGTAGTTTGATATTGTTATGGTAAATGTTTTAGTAATCACAACTAATTCCTATAGGGTCGTGAGTCTGGCACCATTCAGAGATACAGTCTTCCTAATGTTGGTTTGATTCAAAAATATTCCCTTAATTGTCGAGCCTACCAGTTATCCTTAAATTGCAACTCTAGGTAAGTATAAAAACTCTCCTTCTGGGGTGTTAGAAGTTATCAGTTGGGATTGTTGGGTTTATGTAATAAATGTGAAGACAAGTGTGTTTGTTATGAACTTGTAAACTATATAGTTTTTGGTTTAAATGCTTTTTATTAGATATATATGGAAATCCTTTATTCTTAAAGCTTTAGTGTTTTGAGAGTATTTTATATTTTCCTATCAGTTGGTTTAATCTCTCTGGATATATTTTCCTTACAAGGAAGCAAAATGGAGAAAATAGTCTATATCTCCAGTCAAATTTATAAAAAAAATTTAAAGCCATTTTTACCATGATTCAGGTTTTTAAAAAATATATAGATATATTTTTTTTAGTTGTCATTGGATCTTTTATTTATTTATATGCGGTGCTGAGGATTGAACCCAGGGCCTCACACATGCCAGGCAAACGCTCTACCACTGAGCCACAACCCCAGCCCCAGCCACAACCCTAGCCCCATGTTTCAGGTTTTTGATAAACTGATTTTGAAGAATGGTTGTAGGTTGTTATATTCAAGATGGTAATTTCACATTTGTTTCTCTTTCCCTGATGGCATCCTTTGTAGTCGTCTTGCTATCATAGACATCTCAGGAGTTCTAGTGTTCTTTGACTTGGACACTCGGGTAACAGACAGTACAGGACAGCAAGTAGTCGGCGAGCTGTTAAAATTGGAGAGGAAAGATGTCTGGGATATGAAGTGGGCCAAGGATAATCCTGATTTGTTTGCAATGATGGAGAAGACAAGAATGTATGTTTTCAGAAACTTGGATCCTGAGGTAAAAACAAGAAACAAGTGCTAACAGTCCAGAAATAATGAGCCAAAGATCAAAATCTGGATATTTCTCCTTTGTTTCTTTCAGAGGTTCATTGGTGTTGGCTATGTAAATTTGTGAAAGTAAACACATTTTTGTGGAGGTTAAAAATATTTGATCTGAAGTGGGAATAATACTCATCTTTTAGATGTTCTCCTCTTCCCCTTTCTCTGAAAGATACTGCCTAAGCATTTATCTGTTCTTCTTTTTTTTTGTACTGGGGGATTGAACTCGGGGGCACTCTACCACTGAGGCACATCTGTTCTTTTCTTAAAAGACAGAATTATGGTCACTAGATGGTCTTTTTCTTAATCAAAATTCAAAGAGGAAAAGAAAAAAGAAAATCAATAGCCTTATTTGCTAAAATTTCTTTTAAAAATCTAACCCAAAAAATATAGCTTTAAAGTTGCCTTGTTCTTTCATTGTCTTCTCTGTGAGTCTAGTTTCACAGGGACCTTGTCTTTCTTATACATTCACCATGTCACCCATTAATCCAGGCTCTTTCTTAACCCAGATATTCTTGCAAATATGCTAGGTGGATTCTGATTCTCTTTTCTTTCCTGGTATCAGGAAGCCCTTTTCTCTGATTTTTTTTGTATGTGGTGCTGAGGATCGAACCCGGGCCGCACGCATGCCAGGCGAGCGCGCTACCGCTTGAGCCACATCCCCAGCCCTCCTTTTCTCTGATTTTTAAGTTTATGTTTTGATTTTCCACTTCTGGCCTAATCAAGAAGATAAATCTTTTAAACAACATTTAAATTAGTAATGATTTTCAATTTGGAATTTTCTGTTGTACTTCACTGGGGGAAATAATAAGAGGAGCAAGTTAATAAATGCTTTGCGTTGTTCATTTCTGTTTGCATTGATAGCGTCCTTTGGAAGAAATTGTATGTTTGGCCCTTGAGCTGCCAAAGATTTTGTGTGGAGATTTGTTTAGTGGTTAAGCTTTTGGGCCCTTTAATATCCTAAATTATTTTTACATTTCCCCATTTAGCCCTACTCAGGATCTTTGGCAAATAACCTGATGTAAAAGGCTCTGTTAAAGCTTTAAGAAGTCTGAGGGCCTTTGTAATTCTTAGACCCTGAGAAATTGTTCAAAGGAGAGACATTTGGGACTGCCACATTTGACCTCCAAGCATGGTTTTTTCCCTAGGACTTAAGGGGCATTTGACCCTTGCCACAAAACAATTATAGAAATTTGACAGATAACCACAGGATAACCTTGAAGATGGGAGTAGAATACTTTTTGAATGTTAGAGTCCTTTTTTCTATTCTTGGCTCCACTCACATTAAGCTGGAAATCATATGCCTGGAGAAGTGAGTGTTTGTTATGGCTGGCTGCTCTTAATGTGTGGAGCACATGTGGCCAATCTAGCACCAAGTGAAATTTTTGCCTGGTGGAAAGTGTTTCTTAAGTAGTTCTAACAGAACAGCCTTTATTTTTTAAAAAATATTATTTTCGTTATTTGAGTTTATTTTGGGGTTTGGCATGAAGTTCAATTTCTATTAGATTTAAAGCTAGGTGAATTTTTTTTGAACAACCTTCTCTGTCTAGATTTTTTTTTTTTTTTTTTAAAATAAACCATGCTGTTCTGTGCTTCTGTTCTTTCATGAAGACACTGGCTTGTTCTGGTCCCTGCTTGTTTAGTTATAAGTAATCATCCTCTAGATGCTTATTGATCATGTAAAAACATACTTCTCAAAACAGATTTTTTTTGTGTGTGTGTGTGTGTATGTATGTTCATGGTGTCCTGGGGATTGACCAGGGCCTTGTGCATGTCAGGTAAGTGCTCTACCACTAAGCCACAGTCCCAGTCCAGGAAAGAATTTAACAGATCTGCAGAACTACAGAAGAGTATATAACTTCAGGACATAGTAGTTGGTATTATCATTCAGGAGATGAGCTATTGTTTAACAGTTAATAACCAAATGTATTTTTGTCCCTGTGAGGATAGGAGAGAATGTCCCTGTTTTCACACTGTAGTGTGGCTGACTTAAGGCTTGTACTGGGTGTGCCAGAGCAGTCAGTTCTGCCTTTCCATTTGCTTGCTCTTGCATTACCAATATTACCTTGAGTTCACAAATTTTTGTCAAGAAACTTTTATTATACTCGTCCAATCTGTGAGGGGTAGCTAAAAGTGGATTGTATAATACCTCAAGCCACTTAATTAGGTATATCCAAACTCCAGTATGTTACAATGTGCAAGATTGAAAAGTAGAGAATGCCTGTGGTATTACATGAGTTGTGAGACCTTCTGAGTTGGTGCTGGGTAAGGGAAGCAGGTTTCTTGGAACAGCATGGAAAACTTTAGATAGTGTCTTTTTGATATATATATTTTAATTTCTTTATCTTTATTTTTTTTATTTTTATGTGGTGCTGAGGATTGAACCTAGCGCCTCACATGTGCGTGGCAAGTGCTCTGCCACTGAGCCACAACCCCAGCCCTCTTTTCGCTATTTTGATAAATAGAAATATCTTGATACTGCTTAGCTTTATAGACCATTGATCTGAAGCTTTATAATCAATTGAGGTATAAATGAATGAATAATGAATTTTGGAAAATAAAAGATAATTGGTTGATTGGGCACATCTACTGTGCATACAACAACCTCATTCTTAAACTTAGATATACTAAACTAAATGTGAATCCATTTTTACTTCTTAGTTTCATATTATTGTATTGTATAGTATAATTATATGTTATATACCTGCAGATATATTCTTAAAAATTATATTTTGATATTATTTACATCTCCTATTATTTATAACATATCCTATTTCTTTTATATTATTCATAAAGGTATTAAGTATATTAGCAGTTTATTTATTTTGTTATTGATACCTATTTTTTTCTACTAAGGATTTAGGGCAGCTACTTTACATTATAGTATGCATTTCTTATACTTTCTTTCAAAAGCCTGCATAATATTAGGGTAGAGATAGACATATAACAGATGTATTTGCAAATAAAATCTTGTGTAGGAGATATGTCAGGAACATTCTCTGACTTACGTTACAGAAGATAGACTTTTCAGTATGTTATGGTATTATTATCATGGATGTACTATGATACAAATGTAGTATTTATTGGTTTTACTAAGAATTAAATGTCCTCATCTTGTAGAGAAATGTACTTAGGGGTGTTTAGGGGTGAAATGTCATGATATCTGTAATTTACTTTACAATACTTCTGCCAAAAGATTAAACAAAGTATATTTAGCAAAATGTTAGTAATTATTTAAGTGATGGATATATGGTGGTAATGGTATTCTCTCTACTTTTTTGTTGGTTTGAATGTTTTGATGATAAAGTTTAAAATCAGATTCCTTAAGGGAGGAGACATTTTGCATGATGAAACATTAACATTTGTTTTTGTCTCTAAAGGAACCCATTCAGACCTCTGGATATATTTGTAACTTTGAGGATTTAGAAATCAAATCTGTCCTGTTGGATGAGATATTAAAGGTAATTTTAAAAAAGTTATATTTCTTTTTCCAGCTTAACTGGGATTTGTGTTTGAACAGGTGGTCAGACATCTCAGATAAAGTGGGGACTCGGAGGTCAGACAGATCTGGGGTCCAACCCTGCTCTGTTCATTGTGCTTTGATTCCCGTGGGTAGGGGCTAATATGGTTTGAAACTCTGGCTGGCCCCAAAGGAGGGAGCACCTGTGCGTTTCAGCTTGCCCATGTGAGGCAGAAGGGGAGGGAGAAAAGGATGAAGCTCAAGAAGCTGCCAGCAGTCAAACATCAGAAGGAGTCTGAGTCTGTTGCACCCTAGGATTGTGTGCTTTCCATGTTGACCGGCTCTTTTGTGTGTGGATAGCACTTCTGCAAAGATAAGGAGAGAGATCTCGTCTTATTTAAGGTATATAATCAGTAAAACAAGTGGGTAACATCAGAGAATATCTATTCCCCCTTTCCTCACTTGTGCTGGGAAATAGTCTTTTTGTTTGTCTTGACCTCTTTTCCAAAGGACTTAGGTTTGGGGAACTCTTTTTAGAAGATGCGATTTTGCCTGTATCCTTTAAAAACGGAGACATAGGTGGGTAAAGTCCACCTAAGGTAGCTGAAGTGTCTCACCTGTTTTTGTGTGTTAATGCTTTGACAGTAAGCTTCTTGAGTGCCCAGCATCCAGCAAGGGTCTGCTATATACTTGGTTCTCAGGAAGTGTTTGTTACACTGAGTTTTAAAAAATGAATAATGACTTTGTCACTTTCTAATAAGTGGTGGATATTATTATATAGAATTCAAGCAATATGGAAAATTGCTGAAGAGGAAGACTTTAAAAAGCACCTAAAATCCCATCAGATAGCTTTTTTCATAATTACCATTAGCATTCCATATAGCTATGAGCCATATGTGGAGAGACAGATTTGATAGGTTAGATAGATGAACAGAAGTAACTTTATAAAAATGAAATCATTATGTAATCCACAATTTTAGTGTCAAATTTAATTTTGGGGATAGGTACTGGAGATTGAACCTAGAGGTGTTAACCACTGAGCCACATCCTCAGCATTTTTTATTTTTTAAATTTTGAGATAGAGTCTTGCTAAATTGCTTAGAGCCCCTCTAAGTTGCTGATGCTGGGTTTGAAGTTGAGATCCTTCTGCTTCATCCTCTGGAGTCGCTGGGATTACAGGTGTTTACTACATGCATGGCTGAATTTAATTTTAATTAAGTAATCTAAAAGTTAATAAAGTCATTCTGGCCTTTTAGGTAATTTTTTTTCACTACAAACAATATAATTTCCCCAAGTTTAAGAAGAAAATTTGTGGAAAACTAAGTTATCAGTTTAAACTATATTTTAATTTTTAATAGGATGGATTGACTTTTCATTTTAAAAGATGACTTTCTTTTGTTTTCTCCCCTTTTTTGTTAGCCATATTATTATGTTCACATTGTCAAAATTCAGAACATTTTAATTTTGTTTTGTAAGCCTGACTTTCAGTTGTTGATTCTTATATTTAAATGAATTCACAGTACTAGTCTTTTTTTTTTTTTTTACTATATTTTCTCTATTCATAAGTTCTTAATTTTGATTAGTCTTTTAGTTGGCTGGATTTCATCATTAGTAGTGTTTTTTTCAAGAAGGGCTCATAGTTGCTGATTGTATTAAGTTATACAATGTTTGAAAATGCATCACTGTATCTAGTGATTGTCTGAAGTGTTTCAGAAAATATGTATTTCAATTGGTTAGGTGTACTCCAAGATTGTGGATACACTAGTGTTAGGATAGACTGCCTGCAGTGTTGGTGCCCAGTTTTTTGAGGAAGAATAGGGGTGGGGTGGGGAGTTAATTTGTAACCACAACTAAATTCTCTGTGATAGTTCCTTACCTACTTGGCTTACTACAGGCAAAGCTTACCAAAGAATATGGTCATACTTCTCTCTGGGTTCTTTTTCACCCAGGGTTATGGATTAGCTGGACCACAGATTCATTCAAGCATAGTTTTAAGAATAATAAAGAAGTTTTTTGGAGGATGAGAGAAGAGGAAATATTAAAGAAAAAGGAAGGGGTTAATGTTTACTATGGTACCTTCAAATGAGGTGTTAAATTTGTCGTTTGTCATTATAATGTGCCTGGTAGGTATTACAAATACCTCTTTTTTGGATGAGGAAGGCTCTTGGTGAGTAAAATGGCTTATCCAAAGTTCATCTATCCATTGATTTGGGAAATATTGATAAAGAGCCAGTAAGTAAACACAGTTCCTGGCTCCAGGGGAGATAGACCAGGAATTCAGCAACCAGAAGAGGTTTGGTGGTGCTGATTCAGCCAGGGGGTGTTCCTGTTCAAAGCTCTGATGTACAGAATATTGGGTCAGTTCTCAGACTAGGAATAATGTGAATAGCATGGCTGAGCCTTGTGCACAAGGTCTGAGTGTTCTCTCTCTCTTTTTTAAATTATTTATATTTTACTTGTAGTTGGCACAATACCTTTATTTATTTATTTTTTTATGGACACAATATTCTTTATTTTTATTTATTTTTATGTGGTGCTGAGGATCGAACCCAGGTCCTCGCACGTGCTAGGTGAGTGCTCTACTGCTGAGCCACAACCCCAGCTCCTTGAGTGTTCTCTCTTAATCCTCACAATTCTAGGAAGCAGATTTGATTATTTTCTCTGCTTTTTTTGGGGGACAAAAGATGGAGCTTGGAGAGAGAAGCTAATTTACCAGTGTCACTCAGTTAGCAATTGGCAGAGGCATAACTTGGTTCCAAGTGAGGTGGCTTCCAAGCTGGCATATACAATTAGTAGCACTGGCAGAAATGAGGCTGGGAGTTCGAGGTTGGGGTGGGTCTTCAGGGACCCTGTAGCCTGGTTCTTGTGTTTACACTTTATCCTGGAGTCAGTGGGGAAGTAGTGGAGGGACATGATTGGGTTTCTGTTTGGAGAAGAGGGGCCCAGGCTTCCTGGGTGGGTGGGCTGGTGTGTGGGGAGGTGTAGAAGGAGTTGTCACATGGCCAGTGAGTGATGGGATTGGATTAGAGCTGAGCTGTTTGAATCCAGATCGTCTGCCTTTTCCTTACCAGTTCCTCCTTTGTGCTCAGGAGTTCCCCAGACGCCTTTGCAGCTTTAGCTATGGTGCTTTAGTTGCAGGGTGGGGGGTTGGTGCCTATGGCTCTGTTTACCTTTTGAAAGAACTCTCCTGTCTGAGATCACCCTCTGCTGTTTTGCACTCATGGTCTGATTGCCCTGTGTGCTCCATTCTTCTATTATTTGGGATGTGTAATATCAGTAAGTTGATTATAGTTGCCTTTCCTGTCTTTGGCCATTAGATAGCTCTTTCCTGAAAGGCAGGCCTTCGGTTGTTTTGTGGTGTTAGTCAGCCTGCTTCACTATGATAGGAAAGCAGTGATGACAACTGGCCCTTTTTCTTTCATCTCTTGGCTGCCTGAAAGTACTGTAACAAAGTATTACTTCTGGCAGGGAAAGAGTTGCTGAAGGAGTGACAGAGTGGAGGCTGCTGCATGTGTGTTTTCTGCTCCAGTGGAGGGCAGGGAGCATTCTGGAGGGGAAAAAAGAATCACCTGGGGAAAAAAATTAAGCAGAGAGAAACAGGGATGCAGATCTGGGAAGGACCCTTCCACCACTGTGCACTTCTTCCATAGGCAGCTGATTGCTCAGGAAGGACTTGACTTGTGTGTTGGGGGTTTTCCAAGTAACTCATAATATCCAAACATGGGTATTTTAGTCAGCTTTTTTCCTGCTGTGACCAAAAGTCCTGACAAGAAGACTTGACAATTAGAGAAGGAAAAGTTTATTTTGGGGCTCATTTTCAGAGGTCTCAGTTCATAGACAGCCAACTTCATTCCTCAGGGCTTGAGATGAGGTAGAATATCATGGCAGAATTGTATGGCAGAAGAAAGCAGCTGGGGTCAGCACAGGGAAGCAGAGAGAGACTCCCATCACCATGGACAAAATATGTCCCCCAAAGAAATGGCCCCAGTGACCTACCTCCTCCAGCTACACCCTACCTGCCTGCAGTTACCAACCAGTTAATCCCTACCAGGCAATTAATGCATTGATTAGATTAAAGCTCTCATAACCCAATCATTTCTTCTCTGGGCTTTCTTACATTGTCTCACACGTGAGCTTTTGGGGGATACCTCATTACTAAACCATAACAATGGGGATTTGATTTCTTTTCTTCCCAATTTTGCTTACCATAAGATGTAGGTTTTTTTTTTTTTTTGTCTGTTTTAATTGTAAAAAAAGAAACATGTTCTATTAGCAGCTATTTGAATCCTTTGTTTTAATTTTTACTTTTAGAATCCAGAACATCCAAACAAGGATTATATAATTAACTTTGAGATTCGGTCTCTTCGAGATAGTCGAGCATTAATTGAGAAGGTTGGAATTGAAGATGCATCTCAGTTCATAGAGGACAATCCACACCCCCGACTTTGGTATTTTAAAAACCTAAAACCTCTCAAGATGTCAGGTGCATGCTTTTAAAGTCCCAGCTCTGTCATCTCCTGCTCCCTCCTGATGGGAACAGACTTTTCTTGCTCTTCTTTTGAAAATATAGAAATTCATTTTAGATGTGGAAGTCCTCAGTATTAGCAGTGTTATAAGAAAAATGTTTGCATGTGCTAAAATAAATACTTCCCACCACGCTTTACCAGAAACAATAGGCATAATCATTGAATTCTGGTTCAAGGCTTGTTTATCAGAAATTTTCAATAGCCTTTCTGTTTCTTCTTTTTAATAAAGGCGATTACTGGCTGAAGCAGCTCTTCAGAAACTGGATTTGCCCACTGCAGAGCAAGCATTTGTGCGCTGCAAAGATTACCAAGGCATTAAGTTTGTGAAGCGCCTGGGAAATCTGCAGAGTGAGTCAATGAAGCAGGCGGAAGTGGTGGCCTACTTTGGTAGGTTTGAAGAGGCTGAAAGAATGTATCTTGATATGGACAGAAGGTAGGTGACAAAGGATCAGGTGTCACCAAGTACTTTTGTTCATAATAGCTTAAAAGTGAATGTATCATATCATTTCTTTTAAAAATAATTTTTAGTTTAGAATACAACCTAGATATTCTACACATTAATTTATCTTTTATAATTTGGGGGTTGCTTGCTTCTATGTTTTTACTATTAATAATTCACTATAGAGACTTTTTCACTTGGCAGGAAAATACTGATAGAACTACAGAGTAGGGGATTTTATCACTTATCATACGGCTCATAATTTTGGTCCTCTTTTTTTGGTTTAGACCATTATTTAATTTTCCATTGTCAGGAAACATAAAATAAAAATCAAAGGTGTTATGGACTGAGTTTTATTATATTTTCATTCTTATTCATATAAAATAATGTACAAACTTAATTTCAGGTATAAATATTATGTCTATATTTTCTTAATGTTATTTATCTTCCCAGAAGATCCTTAATAACAACTTAAGCCCTGAAAAGACAAGACTCCATCTCTTATTGACACCACAATGGGGGTTATATTTCCACATGAATTTTGGAGGGGACACACATTCATTGCCTCTTACCTGGTCAGGCTGTTTCTAAAGTGTTTGGAGAGTTACCTTATCTGTTCCTATTCTCTGTACCTAGAAGTATACCTAACAAAAGGTAGACACTTGATAAATATTTGTGGAATGGATGAGTGACTGAATGCCGTTGGTTGCAGAGATCTCGCTATTGGCCTCCGACTGAAATTAGGAGATTGGTTTAGAGTACTCCAGCTCTTGAAAACTGGATCTGGTGATGCAGATGACAGTCTCCTTGAACAAGCCCACAGTGCCATTGGAGACTACTTTGCTGATCGACAAAAGTGGTACGTAACCTATCTGCAGCACCTCATGCATTCACACAACACTTAGCTTTGGCACTGTAAGAGGACTTCCATTATTTCCACTAGAATTGGAAATAATGCTAGGGAAATGAGGACCATTCTCCTGAGTCTTAAAGTTCAGATATCTCTCGATTGACATTAGAGAGCAAGAGATCCTTGAAGTAGTGAGATGAGCATTGTAAAACTTTGGAGTTAGCAAACAAAAAACTTGCACTTACCTCCAGGAATTTTTCCACTGTTTGAGATCATGGTGTGTAATTCTAAGATATTATGTGATTTGTTTTTGAACAAAGTTAAAATGTATTTTATATTTGCTTGTTTTGTTATTATAGATTGTTTTCAGGAATCATTGCTTTTATTCTTAAGTTTTCATCTTGATCAGTGTGCTTTTTTATGTCAGTGGAGATACTATAGTGGTATATTAGATTAAAATAACATTTCATAAGAGTATTCAAAGACTGTTACAACTAGAATATGCTACATAGTCTCTAGATTTCCCTCTCTGATTTATATGCTTTAAAGCAATTGTGTGAATGAAGATGATGAATTAGATAGTACCACTACTGGTAAATCTAATGAACATTTTTGGTGGAAGGACTTATTTATTAAGATTCACATTAGTTTAAAAAGTTTTCTTTCTTTCTTTTTGTAGGTTGAATGCTGTACAATATTATGTACAAGGCCGGAACCAGGAACGCTTAGCTGAATGTTATTTTATGTTAGAAGATTATGAGGGATTGGAGAATCTTGTCAATTCACTTCCGGAAAACCACAAGTTGCTTCCAGTAGGTATTGCAAATTTTAGTTGTTGAAGTTGTTAGGTTATTTTATTAAATTTTTATGTTACAGTCAGGAAATATTCTCTGTAATAAAGAAAGCTAAAAATCTATAATTTTATAGTTTCTTAGACATGGAGTAGTGCTTTTATTTTAATTAGGAAATAATATATCAGTATTATAGAATGTTTGAAAATAGAGGAGAAAATCAATTATATTCTTAATACTTTAACATAGTCTTGTGTAGTTTCTTCAGTTTTATAAAATTGCTTTAAAAAGTTAGCTGAATACATGAACTGTTAACAGATGAAATGTCTGTTTTCAGGTATTTGGTTGAAAATAATTTGAAATTTGCTGCAACTTAAGTTTAAAAAGATAGCTCAGCATTTATTAGGTTACATTAATAATAAAGTATTTAATGTCAAATAAGAGAAACTGAGCCTGGCATGGTGGTGCATGCCTGTAATCCCAGCAGCTTGGGAGGCTGAGGCAGGAGGATCAAGAGTTCAAAGCCAACCTCAGCAAAAGTGAGGTGCTAAGAAACTCAGTGAGACCCTGTCTCTAAATCAAATAGAAAATAGGGAAGGGGATGTGGTTCTGTGGTTGAGTGCCCCTGAATTGAATCCCCTGTACAAAAAAAAAAAAGAGAGAGAAACTGAAAGTGGAGTTCTCTTTATTTTGAATATTCCTTTTAAGCCTCTTTTAATTAATTGTTGAATATTGTTAAGATGTTTGTATTTTATTTGTAAATCACTGAGCTGTATGATACCTATGAAGTTGTAGCTCTAAACTGTGGGGTCTGGACATGTATCAGTTGTGAGTTCCACCTCAAAAATTTTGTTTGTTAACTAATAGGTAAGTATAGAGTTGTGATAATTCAGTTTTCTTACTGGCATTGTCATTTACCTTTATTTTCAATCTTAAGTATTTTCTTGAGTAGGAAGGACAACAAAATTTCTTAGAATATTGGGTATGGACACCTGGAGTGCCTATCTTAGTGTTCTCTATGAGGTGTGTCTGATTAAGTAAAAAAAAAAAAAAATGTTCCTTTAGAGGATCCAGAATAATAATATCACTAAGAAAATACTAAATAATTATAATGGTAATAGTAACCAAATGACTAAGATAATGAATTTTAAGTTGTACTATAAATTTTAAATCACGTTTTAGGGGAATTTTTAATAGAATGAAAAGATGTACATAATACTGAAGTGGGAAGTACAGGATACAGAACTACATATAGTATGGTCACAATACATACATAAATACACATACATGTACATTCATAGGACAAAGATACTAGGAAATTACATAGACTATTATGAGGTTACTTATGAGTAATAAGATTATGAGTAACTTTACTTTTTCATGTTTTATAATATTTTTGCTACTAAAATTTATTATTATTATTATTTTTGCGGGGGTGGGGGCAGGTACTGGGGATTGAACTCAGGGGCACTCAACCACTGAGCCACATCCCCAGCCCTATTTTGTATTTCATTTAGAGACAGGTTCTCATTGAGTTGCTTAGTGCCTTGCTAAATTGCTGAGGCTGGCTTTGAACTTGTGATCCTCTTGCCTCCGCCTCCCGAGCTACTGGTATTATAGGCATTCACCACTGTGTCCAGCCTAAAATATATTTTATATTTCCAAAAGTATTTTGGAAGTGGGGTGGCGGGGTGAAGAGAGAAACAATTTGGCGAAGTAGAAATGCTGAAACAAACAAAAAATTTATTTTCTGAAAGTGGGGAATATAGCCAAACAGGTCAGATTTGATGTGGTGGCTCTCCTTGCCTGTCACAGCTTCCCAAAGGAGCGGTTTGGGTCTAGCTTCTTGAACTGATGAATGACATGTTTCTCTAGGGCATTTCCCATTTTGTTTTGAGATAGCGGGGTTGGGGGGTGGGGGGTGAGGTGGTGGGGGTGGTGGTGGGGGTGGGGGGTGGTGGGGTGGGGTGGGGGGGTGGTCTGCCTTTGTTACCTAGGCTTGTTGTGTTAGCTTTTCATTGCTGTGACCAAAATACCTGACATGAACAATTTAAAGAAGGAAAGATTGATTTTTACTCCCACTTTCAGAGGTCTCAGTTCCATTGCTCTGGGTTGAGGAGAGGCAGAACATCAGGCTGGCAGAAGAAAGCTGCTTACTTCATGGCAGCTGGGAATCAGAGACAGCCAGGAAGGGTCCAGGGACAAGATATACCCATCTAGGGCACTCTCCTAGTGACCCACCTCCTTCAGCTAGGTTCCACCTCTTACACTTTCTCTCACCTGCTCATAGTCCATTCAGTCTTTGATGACATTAGCACTCTCAGTGTACAGTAGCTTCCTAAAACCCCATCTCTGAACACTGCTGCTCTGGGGACCAAGTCTTCAACACATGAGTCTTTGGGGGATATTCCAGTTCCAAACTGGTCTTGAACTTTTACCCTCCTAGGCTCAAGTGATCCTCATGAGCCTTGACTTTATGAATAGATGTACCAAAATGTATACCAGCATGCCTGGCATAGGGTATTTCTTTAGAGAGGTATTTGAGAGCTCTGTGAATGGGAGAGTTTTTCTTATGCTTTTAATTAATGATTACCATCAAACATACTACCAGTTCTCTTATAGGTCTTCTTTTTACCTGCTAATGTGGGATATGTTTTGGAGCTTGACGTTTCTATATACTAGTTACTGAGCTGAGAGAGGAAAGGAGTGCAGTGTTTTCAGAGACTGGTTAAGATCTCCTGCCTAAACCAGTAAAGTATTGGTTTTGTTGGAGGTGCTTTAACATCTGTTCTGATTTGTAGCCTCTGCCCCTGTCTGTTTAAAAGAAAAATTCCTTTAACTACCAATTTGATTTTCATATGTCCCTGCACAGTTTTGCTAAATTAAAATATAAGTGATTTCCTTTATCTGTGAAATCTGATAGTACTGTTTTGTCCTTACAGGAAATAGCACAAATGTTTCAGAGAGTTGGAATGTGTGAACAAGCAGTGACTGCGTTTTTGAAATGTAATCAACCAAAGGCAGCTGTAGATACCTGCATACATCTGAACCAAGTAAGGAGCTGAGACTTATGTCTGTGCAGCTGGTTGTCTTAAGAATTTTTAAGTTAAAGTGAAATTAAAGTCACTGTCATGATCCTGTAGAGATTATGGTGAGTGCGAGGGTTGGAGGGTTTGAAGGGAATTTTGTGAAAGGAGGCGGCCAGATATGTCTCCCTTGGAGTTGAAGCCGGAGAAAGTGTTGGAGTTTGTTGAAGGGCTGCCTTGAAGGGTAACCACTCATTATTGACCCTCTAACTCAATAAGGGAACATGAACAAACCAGTGCTTGTAGTCTGGCAAATTTTTATCTGGAAGTAATTTCACCATTTTCTGCATTTTTTTAGGGTTAGGTTTTCTTTCCAAAGAAGGACCAATTAATGGTTGGTCATTGCCTGAGGAAGGAATCTGGTTACTTTATCAATATTTATTTTAGCAAATCAGTTTTCCTTTCCCTTTATTTATTTCTTTTAAAAAGTTTTCTTAGTTGTAGATGGACACAATATCTTTACATTTATTTATTTTTATGTGGTGCTCAGGATTGAATCCAGGGCTTCATACATGCAGGGCAAGCGTTCTCCTGTTGAGCTACAGCCCCAGCCCTTGCTTTCCCTTTATAGAAAACATGTATTTGACATTTTTAAGAACTGAAATTTAATTAAAATGAAAGTGCAGAATTATTATAGAAACTGTTGACTATTAGTATGTTCTTTTAGTATTTTTCTTATTTTATAAAGCTGCATTCACTGTATTAAAATGTTTTAAATGTTAAATCTGAAATGATATTTTCTTAACTGAAATTAGATATTTTATTTTACTATAAAGAATAAAAAAATGAATCTTTTTCTGGTTCACATTATGTTCAAAAATAGAATTATAAGATTAATGTGATCATAAACTCTTTCAGGTGCACTTCTTAAATTAGTCTTAAATCATTTAATCCTTTTGACACATTTAGCTTGTAGAACTTATAGTTTCTCTGATTTTAAGTGATTTTTAAAACCATATGCCATTTTTTTCTATTTTGAAGAAGTATCTTCAGTTATTACAAACTTAAATTCTTATTGTGTGAATTTCATGACATGTGAAATAAATACTTGGGTGACCGAATGATATAATTTTTTTCCTAGTGGAACAAAGCTGTTGAATTAGCTAAAAGCCATAATATGAAAGAAATTGGATCTCTATTAGCTAGGTATGCATCTCACTTACTGGAAAAGAATAAAATTCTTGATGCTATAGAACTTTATCGGAAAGCCAGTTTCTTTTTTGATGCTGCTAAACTGATGTTTAAGGTAATGTAATAATTTTGGTGAGTATTTGGTTTGTCCAGGTTATAATTGTTTTTGTATAGTTTTGAACACATTTTCCATTTTCTTTGGAAACAAATGTTTGTTATAGCAAACTCCTTCTGGTTTTATGACTAAGTAAAAGGTAATAATTTTAAGGTAATTGTGTAGTTTTGGTATTATTACCTTTTACTAACAAGGGTGTTTATTACTATTAGCAACTTATTGATTCCTAAACAATTATATATTTATTACTCAAGTTAACAGAGACTTAAAGAACTTGCTGGAACAACCAAGCACACATTCCCCGCATTGGGAATTGAATTCTATTGATAATAGAGTTTTGAGTCCTTGCAAATGTTACACTTTTGATAATATCCATTTGGAGGAAATATAACTAACTAGAACAGTATTAATTTCTGAAAAATTTATATTCTATTTTTTTCTGTTTGATTTAATGAAAAAGGAAAAATTTCCCTCAAAATTATTTAAATAAACTTCTGAAGGATGTACCATGTTAATGCCATTGTATCTCTGTGTACTTGAAATGTTATTTATAAAACCTCTGTATTGTGGAAGATACCCATCCTATCATGACTTTCTTTGTTCTGACTTAGCTATTTTACAGCAGATATTTCAAGATTGTTAATAGGTTTAACTCCATGGGCTGAATACTAAGGAAAGAACTGAGTATTTATGTTAGTAATAAGGAAAGGAGAATGGCTTTTAAAATATCAAACACAGATACTTGGTATTTATATTCCATCCTACTGATCTTTTCCCTTTTTTAGATAGTCAAATTTCAGTTAATTTTGAAAATGATTGTATTTGTACAAATACAGATTAAGAAGTATCTTCCCCAAATTCTGTTTAAAGATTGCCGATGAAGAGGCAAAGAAAGGAAGTAAACCTTTACGTGTGAAGAAGCTCTATGTACTGTCAGCCTTACTTATAGAGCAGTACCATGAGCAGATGAAGAGTGCCCAGCGAGGAAAAGTGAAAGGGAAGAATTCAGAGGTAAGGTGGAGCACTGTGTAACTTGAAATAACATCAGATCCTCTCAAGGGCTTAGGGAAAAAGAATGAACTTTTCTTTATAGACAAGCCCTTTAATTTATACAACTGCATTTCTTTCTTTTTGTTTTTATTTTTTTTCTTTTTGTTTTTAAAATATTTATTTTTTAGTTGTAGTTGGACACAATACCTTTATTTAATTTATTTTTTTTAATGTGGTACTGAGGATCAAACCCAGGGCCTCACCCAAGCTAGGCGAGCAAGCTACTGCTGAGCCACAATCCCAGCCCCCTGCATTTATTTCTTTTAAATGACACAAAGTACAGTATGACTGATTTAAAATTAGTATTCAAATTTAGAAATTTCTACTTAGAAATATTGAAAATTATTTTCAACATGAAAAATATGTAGTCTTTGCTTTATTTATTTAAAAATTTTAAATTTGTTTTAATTAGTTATACATGACATTAGAATGTATTTATGCACTTCAATATATCATACATAGATGGGATATAATTTCTCATTTTTCTGAGTGTACATGTTGCAGAATCATATTGGTCACAGTCACATATATACATACAGTAATAATGTCTATTTCATTCTACTATCTTTCCTATCCCCATATTCCCTCCCCTTCCCTCCCATCACTTCCCTCTACCTAATCTAAGGTAATGCGATTCTTCCCTAGTGCCCCTGCCTTATTGTGAATTAGCATCCACATATTAGAGAAAACATTTGGCCTTTGGTTTTGTGGGATTGGCTTATTTCGCTTAGCATGATATACTCCAACTCAACCATTTACTGGCAAATTCCGTAATTTTACTCTTCTTTAAAGCTGAGTAATATTCCATTGAATATATATACCACATTTTCTTTATCCATTTATCTATTGAGGGATACCTAGGTTGGTTCCATAGTCTAGCTATTGTGAATTGAGCTGCTATAAACATTGATGTGGCTGTGTCACTATAGTATACTGATTTTAAGCCTTTGGGTATAAACCAAGGATGGGATAGCTGGGTCAAATGGTGGTTCCATTCCCAATTTTCTGAGGAATTTCCATACTGCTTTCCATAGTGGATGTACCAATTTGCAGTTCCACCAGCAATGTATGAGTGTAGCTTTTTCACCACATCCTTGCCAACATTTATTGTTACCTGTATTCTTGATGATTGCATTCTGACAGGAGTGAGATGAAATCTTAGAGTAGATTTGATTTGCAACAAATATATTTGTTGATCAATTGTATTTCTTCTTCTGTGAAGTGTCTGTTCAGTTCTTTCGCCCATTTATTGATTGAAATATTTGTTTTTTTGGTGTTAAGTTTTTTACTTATCTAGTAAATCTTCCTTTCTAATCAGAGAATTTTAAAAACTTTCTTAGGGGCTAGGGATGTAGCTCAGTTGTGAGTGCTTGCTTTGCATGTGCAAGGCCCTGGGTTCAATTCCCAACACCAGAGACAAAAACAACAAATACAGAAATCTTTTTTAGAATATATATGTTATTTTAATGTGTAAATGGATCTCATATCAACTTAAATTTAATCAATCCTACTTTAAGATTTGATCATACCAGTTTAACAAAATATGAATTATAATGGGAAAAATCCATAAAAAGTTTTATAATCATAAATCTGGTCCTTTAGATATGCTCCTGCCAGTTTCAGAGGTTACCTTCATTGTAATGACGAGGTTGTGTGGTAGCTGGCATTGTGTGTGTTTGAGCTGACCCAGAGTGCTGTCTGCTTTTCTCGAAGGCCACTTCTGCTTTGGCTGGTTTGCTGGAAGAGGAAGTTCTGTCTACAACTAGTCGCTTCACAGACAATGCCTGGAGAGGGGCTGAGGCTTACCACTTCTTTATCCTTGCGCAAAGGCAGCTCTACGAGGGCTATGTTGACACTGCACTGAAGACAGGTGGGCATTTCAACTGTGTATATAGTTTGTCCGAAAAATTTTAAATTGAGTGAAGGGCCAATTCCTTCAGCTTGTCTTTGTTTTGGTTTTGATAACATTTTTGCTATGGATTTATTTTTATATGTTTGGATTATTGTATATATTATTTTGTTCATTCCCCTTTTTGAAGTTTAAAAATATTTTTAATATGTCGAAGGTACATAGAAATATCAGAAGTTTGAGATAAGCAAAAGAATGTGTGTAGTATTTATATGCTGTCCATTCAAAGCCAGACACTTGATAGACCAGTCTCTATCCTTTTGGAGATATCTGTATAATAATATAATAAATATAAATAATAATAATTTATAAAATAATGTTGTAAGTCAGAGATGATCATCACTGACCTTTGGGTAGACTTCCTTTCAGATGTTTCATCATACCAGAGCTTACTTCCCCCCCATCAGTATGTTGTAATTATCTTTTCTCATTGGTAAATATAGATCTGTATCACTTTTAATAGTCATCTAATATTCCATGCTATTTATGGATTATAATTTATAGAAAATTATTTACATGTAGTATCTGAATCTAGAACTTATTTTGGCTTAACAGTATGCTGGAGTTTAAATATATTAAATCCTAAGAACTAATTATGAGATCTATGTTATAAACCAAAGCATATGAATGGCTAAAACATTACTGTGACATTACTGCTATTTTAGCTTGACATGACAGCAGTGCAAACATTGTTATTCAACACACTTCTCCTGTGGGCCCTCCCCCCTGCACTGGGTGGGCCACTGTGATATCACTCATCTGCTGCTCATATTATCACCAAGCGCATATCACTCGCTAATCCTGAGTAATCATTAATCTGCATTCTGGTGGAATTATTTTTAAAAAATCTTAGAGAAATTCTCTTATTTGAATATTTCTATAATTCTATAGTGATATTACTGTGACATTACTGCTGTTTTAGCTTGACATGACAGTAGTCATGTTTTCAGTATTTGTGTAAGAACTCTTTAAGAGATTATATATAACAAACCTCTATCATATATGTTGATTTCCCCAGCAGTTATAACTTCATTATTTAGCTTTTCCAGCTGTAGTGTTTCTCTCTTCTCTCTCTCTCTTTTTTTTTTTCTTTTGGTACCCAGGTTTGAACTAAAGGGCACTCAACCACTGAGCCACATCCCCAGCCCTAATTTTGTATTTTATTTAGAGACGGGGTCTCACTAAGTTGCTTAGTGCCTCGCTTTTTTGCTGAGCCTGGCTTTGAATTCATGGTCCTTCTGTCTCAGCCTTATGAGCCGCTGGGATTATAGGTGTGAGCCACCACTGGGCGGTAGTTTCTTTTTTATGGAAAGTGGAAGTAATAGTATCTTCCTCTCATTGTTTTAATGATGAAGAGAGAAGTTCCTGAAAAGAAAAATCACTTGTTATGGTGCCTAGACTTCATGAGTAGTGACAGCATGATGATGATATTAATAGTGAGTTTTGATACAGTCATGTCTGTCAGTCTGATTTCATATTTTTCACTTAGGAGTCATGCTTAATAAGTCCTTCACTCTAAAGTTATTACATATTATATTTTATTGTAACTTCTTAGTTAACCGAAAATCACTTATTAAACATGTATTCTTCCCTCGCAGATTTGAAATTCTCCCTTTATGAAATTAAATTTATGTATCTAATCCCTTCCTAGACTATTATTTTCTATTTATGTATTTCTATGCTGGTACTGTGCTTGTAGTTTTATTTTTAAATTTCAATATCTGGGATTTAAGCTATTGCCCTTCTTTTTAAAGGGTATTTTCTTATGTTAGTTCATCCAGATCAACTTCATAATCTTTTTGAGGGTAGGAGTTGTTTAGTCCTGTTGGACTTTGTGTTAGCATTGCTTTAAGTTAATATATTTAATATTGGTATCGATAATTTATTTGTGATTTTTTTCATCCAGAAGAATCAGTGTTTAAAAACCATTGGTGTATCTGTATTTTTAAAAATTTATTTATTTATTCTAATTTGTTGTACATGACAGCAGAATGCATTTCAATTCATAGCATACATATAGAGCCTAATTTTTCAAGTCTCTCGTTGTACACAAAGTAGAGTCACACCATTAGTGTCTTCATACTTGTACTTAAGGTAATGATGCCTATTGCATTCCACTGTATCTGTTTTTCTTTACAAAGATTCTTTTTTTTAGGTTGCAGTTGTCTTGCATGTCTTTTATTTTGTGGCCTTATTTAAAAAAAATTTAAATTTGTTCTTTTTAGGTATACATAACAGTAGAGTGTATTTTGACATATTATACATACATGGAATATAATTTATTCTTATTAGATCCAATTTTTATGGTTGTACATGACGTGGAGTTTCACTGGTTGTGTGTTCACATACACGAGGAAAGTCATGTCTGATCTGATTCATTCTACTGTCTTCTCTACTCCCATCCCTTCTCACTTCCCTTCATTTCCCTTTGTCTAATCCAAGGTACTTCAGTTCATTCCTACCCCACCCCTCATTGTGTGTCAGTATTCATATATCAGAGAGAACGTTCCACCTTTGGTTTTTTGGGATCAGCTTCTTTCACTTAGCATGTTAGTCTCCGGTTCCATCTATTTACTGGCAATCTTTCCAAAGATTCTTAGTTTTCTTCCTTATGCTCTAAATATTTGTAGTTTATTTCTACTTTTGTTTTCATTAGCAATGGGTCTATGAAAAAGTCTAACTGGTTATTAGTAATATAAAATAAGTTTTAATATTTTATTTTATGACTAATGTTAATTTTAATTAATGTTTAATATAAATTAAGCACTGTGTAAAGTCATATTTTTATAATTTATGTACCATTTGTAGACAAATTAAAAGAAAAATTAGACCTTTAACTTGAGATTTTTTTTACCTATTGGGTGGAGATTTCCATATACTTCCAATTTTTTTTTCAGTTTTGAAACAACATATGTCCTGTAAATTGCCTATGAACCTATTATGTGCCAGATATGAAATTAGAAGGTATTATTTATTGTAACTAAATGAATGTATTTTTATACCTTTTTTTATACATTTCACTAAACTTTGTTGTCAACACTTGACCTCAGAACCAGTCTGAGGAATCTAATTATAAAATACATGAGTATATTATTTTACACTTGTTTTGTGACATTTCCAGTATATTATGATAAAAGGGATATTTTAAGACTGCAAGATCTAGAGAAGAAAGAGATACAAATTAGGTACAAATCTGATATTAGTACTATGGTACATTTTAAAGAAAGATTACAATGTCTTTAGCATAGAAGAATTGCAAATTAAGATGTAATAGCTATTAAAATAAATGGTCTAAATGGACAATTTAGAGGTTCATTTTCAATTCCTTTTTCTGAGTCTTGTTTCAATGAGACAAACAAAAAGTATTAACCAGTTTTGTTCTTTCATCCCAGATGTGGAACATCTGAACACTGAAAGTGAGCAACATATATACCACTATGGTAACTTTGAAATACTATTTGAAAACTTACATTTGCAGAATTGAAAACTTGAGACCTTATGGGTTGATCTATTTTTAAAAACAATAAGAGAGAACATGTGATTTCATACTTCTTTGCCTTTATTTTTGCACAAATAAACATGATATTTTAAGAGTTATGATTAACAGTTATGATTAATATTAATAGTGTAATATTAATCTACTTTCTGTGGAATGCCCCAGAAATTTATAATTTAAATGGAAGAAAAGATGTGTCTTTCAACACCAAGACATTTTTTTTTTCTCTTGTGTATCTTTCTGGGTGGGTCAGCCATGTGCATCATTTGGTGGTTATATTCTTCACAGGACTGAGCTGTCAGTTGGTTTCTCAGAACCTAGGAATCATGGACCCTACTTTTTCTATTAGTGCTCCTCTCTCTCAACATTATTTTAAGTTCATTCAAGTTCATGTGGATTAAACGACAGCACCTTTATTTACATTCTTTCCCATGCATGTTCATGATATCATGATTATTTTTAAATACTCACACTGTTCTCTCTTTCCTAGCTCTTCACCTGAGAGACTATGAAGACATCATCCCTGCAGTTGAGATATACTCTCTGTTAGCACTCTGTGCGTGTGCCAGTAGAGCTTTTGGTACTTGTTCCAAAGCTTTCATTAAACTTGAATCATTAGAGACTCTCAGTTCGGAACAGAAACAGCAATATGAAGACCTCGCTCTAGAAATCTTCACCAAACATAATCCAAAAGATAACAGAAAATCAGAACTGGACAGCCTTCTTGAAGGGTAGGCTAATTGTTGTTTATAGCTACCATTCTCCCTTGTTTGAAGCTTGAATTTCTATGTGTATGATGTGTAATACAATAATTAAAGCACTCAATTTGTACCTTAACAATAAACTCTTTTATTTAATCTATATGCATATTAATGCTTTTTCTCATTGTAAGAATTATTTTGAAATGTTTTTCGTTCTTCAATTTTTAGGCTATTAAATGCATTATTAGAGTCATTGGAAATTTTACAGTATAATTAACTGTTTTCCTCTTGTTTCTCCAGGGGAGAAGGGAAATTGCCAACATGCGTTGCCACAGGAAGCCCAATCACTGAGTATCAGTTCTGGATGTGTGCTGTGTGCAAGCACTGTGTTCTTGCTCAGGAAATCAGCAACTACAACTTCTGTCCCTTATGCCATAGTTCAGTGGGATAACAGAAAGACGAATGTATATAATTTTAAAAATACATGTAACATATAAAGCTCTAACTGTATATATAAAATAAGGTTTCTTTTCTATAAGTTTTATATGAAAATAAGCTTCATTTTTTTATAGTTGGATTTTTGTACAAAATTTATGTAATAAAATAGCTTTTATGCAGAGGTACAACTGTGAAATAATAAGGTTAACTTTCATGTAAAACTTATGCAAGTCAGTCTTATTTTTTTCCTATCTCTATTGCTATCATTTATTTATCTCATGGTTGGTTACATGATCCTATGGCAACATTCCAAATAAGAAATATTTTTTCTCCCCATGCCAAGGTTACTAATTCATTATACAACCTTGGGGAGGTAGATGGGCAATGGGGGAAACATGGGAATGGGCAAAGCTGAATTTAGAGATTGACATAATCCGTGCATTACAGGATATCTGCCCAAGAGAACTTATCTCCTGTTGAACTTAATTATATCTTTCCACAGGACTTTGTTTTTTAGGGATGAGACTATTCTCTGCTTTATCAATGAAAGAAATTTTCAGAGTTGTAGGGATAGTGTGCCTGTCACTAGTTCCGTCATTGTGAGAAGCTCCTGCAGGACTCTGTTTAGTTGTGAGTCTTGGTCCATGGTCTGATGCCTAGGTGTCTCTTCTTTCCCTATCCCGTTCTTACCCAGGAATCTACTGAGAACTCATTAACTCCTAAGCCTCTCCTAATAAACCTTTCAGGAACTTTCTCTTGAAGCCATCTAGCTCCATCTGCCTAAGCCCTGGATTTTTCCTCCAACTAATTATTTTAGATAGATCCCGAGTTGCTGCCAAGCTGAACTTCATGTTCAGTTTTGATTCAGATAAACTCTGATACCTTGTGGATCTAATTTTCATATATGTATATGTATCTGTATATCCATCCACACATATATAACTATGTATGTGCACACAAGAGATACATCTGTTCTACTATTGTAAAAATGTGTATGATTCTTGGGGATCTAAATCTGTGGAAGTTTTTAAATGATCTGCCACTATGTCTTGGGACTTTTGTTCAACTTAAAAATGGTACTAGAACCTATAGTATGAATTTATCTGATTGGTTTTATTCAACTCTCCCTTGATGAAAGGGACAGAGAGAAGCAAAAGTGGCTATATAAAACAAATACCTGAAGAGAAGTTGGATGGACGGAGGTAGTGTACTGGAGACAGGATAATGAAATTGCTGTTCTTTTTTTTTTTCTGGCCATCATAAACATGGACTTACTTTGAGCAATGCTGAGTCATTCTTTATTCGAATTACATTATGTTTTAAAATGGTATGGTAGGCATAAGTATTCAAATGACAGAACCAACTGATGCAGCTATACACATAAGCAATGTGCCTAATAAGCACTGTAGCATTGTTGACTTACCACACTCAAAAAATGCTAACTTCATTTTAAGTTGCTTTGCTTATATTTTGAAATTGCTGAGACCTTTGGTTTTTATTATTATGTGAAAATAATAAATACTGAAGAAAAAAGGACTTGTGTTTAACCCAGGTTTTCTTTATGTGTCTTCATTTGTCTATTTTGGTGGGGGTTGTTGAGTAGGGAGTTGTGCTGCACAATGGAGAAGGCAAGGAGAGGGCAGGTACAGTAGATGTATTGCACCATGTTTGCTGTCAAAGGGGAAAAAAACCCAACCCTTATACAAGTACAGGGCAAATGTCAGATGATTGACATTGCAGAGAATTACTCCTTAAAGATCACATATTCTCATTTAGAAATAAGGGGGAAAATCAACATTACCAAACTTTTGAGAAAAAAAATCAAGAGTACTAAATTTGCTGACACAGCTCCAAGCTCTTGCCTCTGGGTTTCCAAAGTGAAAATAATAATATTATGTTGTCCCCTACTGTTTATTTTTATGATTACTTTCTCAATTCATTATTTTTTCTTTTAGAAACTAATATTTATTTGCTTTAAATATAAAAGTAACATGTTCATGGTTGAAAATTTCAGAAATATACAAGAATATAGATGAGAAAGTAAAAAACTTTTTAAAAAATAAAAGCATTAATTTATATTTTAGTGTGATTTAAGAGAATAAACAGGCAAAACTTAAGAAACTGTATCTTTAACAGTGTTTTGTAGTTTTCATTGGACAAGTCTTTCACCTCCTTGAATTCATTTGCTAGTTTTTAAGTGTTTTCTTTTGGTGGTATCTTTAGGGACACAAACATGTATGTATACTTATGCATGTATGTGTATGCATGTGTGTGTGTGAACAGAGATACTCTTTTCTTTTCACTTTACTTTTTAAATTGCTTTGGCTAGATCTTCATTGCTACATTGAGTAGAAGTGATGGAAGTGAGCATCGTTGCCTTGTTCCTGGTTTTAGAGAAAAATCTTTCAGTCACTATTGAACCTGATGATCTAATGTTTACTGCAGGTTTTTCATATAGACTTTTACTATGTTGAGGTAGATTCCTTCTATTTCCACCTTGTTTTTATCATGAGTTTTTAATTTTGTCTAATGCCTCTTCTGTATGAACTGAGACGATCATGTAATTTTTCTCCTTATTCTGTTATTGTGGTGTATTATGGTGATTGATTTTCATGTATTGAATCAGCCTTGCATTCCAGGAATAATTCCTACTTGGTCATGGTATATAATTCTTTTTATCGTGCTGTTGAATTTGATTTGCTAGTCTTTTGTTGTTTTTTTCCCATCAGTGTTATAAGTGATATTTTAATGAGAACAGATAGCTTTATAAAGTTAACAAGTATTCCCTCCTGTTTTATTTTTAGAAAGAATTTAAGAAGAATTGCCTCAACTGGTAGAATTCATCAGTATAAGCATGAGTTGTTTTTTTTTTTTTAATTATCCAATTTTACTAGTTATGTCTATTTCTTCAGGATTCAATCTTGGTTGGTATTCTGTTTGTAGGAGTCTGCCAGTTCCATCTAGTTATCAATTTTTTGGGGCATATAGTTCTTCATAGTGCTCTTATAATCCTTTTTATTTCTGTAGAATTAAAAGTAATGTCCTCACTTTCACTTCTGATGTAATTTTTTTACTTGGTCAAACTAGCTAAAGGCTTATTAATTTTTGTTGATCTTTTCAAAGAACCTATATTTGGTTTCCTACTAGTTTATTTCTGTTCTAATCTTGTACACATCTTGCTATTCTTCCTCTCAGATCACTGGATGTTGAGACACATGAATATTCTTGTTACTCCTTGAGCAAATCTTCTACTTCATGGCTTTTATATTTGGTTTCCTCACCCATTTCAGTTTGGCTTGCTCCTTCACTTGCTTTAGGTCTGTACTCAGTCACCTTTCCTATGAAGTCTTCACCCAACTTTTATAAAACAGAAATCACCTCTTTCCTATCCCCTATACTGTTTTTTTTCCAACTCACTAAATCACTGATTTTAAAATTGTGTCTTTTTGCTAGGCTGTAAGCTCCGTGGGGGCAGGGGACTTCATCTTGTTCACTATTCCCAGTTTTTAATCTGCTACATAGTAGATGCCCAAGAAGTGATTTTTGAGCATTAAGTTCTGTATATGTTAAAGATGATAATTATTTTGTAAGTTGAAAATTTCTTTCATCTCTGCCTAATTTTTATAGTTAATTGTACCAGATTCTTTGTAATTTTTTCTTTCTTCATCAGTTTTGTGTTGCGGTAATGATACCACAGTCTAGGTAATTTTGTAAAGAAAAGGAATTTATTTGGTTTACAGCTCTGGAGCCTGGTCCAATGTCATGAGACTTTAATTGGTTAAGGCCTTCTTGCTTCATCATAATATTGCAGAAGGCATAGCATGGCAAGAGAACAAGAGAAATTGCTTCAATTTCAAGCCCTTTAAATAACTGGCATTAATCTATTCATGAGGGTGGAACCCTCTTGATAACTGCTATTAGATCTACCTCCAGACACTGATGCATTGGAGATTCAACTTCCAACACACAAACTTTGGTGGACACAATAAAACCATAGCATTCCTTTTTTTTTTTTTTAATGTATAAAGACCTGTTTATATTTGAGATAATTATCTTTCATCCTACTTTTTATTTTTGGAGACTTTAAAAAATATTTTAACTTTCTAATTTACCTGGAATAAAAGTATTTTTCCTCAAATGGTTAACTCATTCTTCCAATAGCATACACTTAAATGATATTATCTTTTGGCATATGTTAAAAGCCATTAAAACAACAAAATATCGAAGACTGCAAACTCTCTACACAGTATACGATTTAATTAAGCCTTCCCTACACAAGTCCTGAGGTTAAGGTGGAAAAGTTCGCCATCTCCGTTGTTGGAGCTAACCTTGGGTATGGTTTGAATTCGGGCTCAGAGCCGTGGGACACGAAGCCTAGAGGATTCGAACCCAAATGTCTCGGGGTAACCACTGTCTACTTAACACCCCAAACTCCGCATTCTGCGAAGCGTGGCGCTGCACCGGAAGCAAGCTGCAAAACAAAGAGCCACTTGTAGAACCACCGCAGGCTTCCTGTTTCCGCTTCCAGCACAATGGGCTCTAGTGCACTGTGACTGAGGGCACGTGCCTCGCGACGTCAGACGTGGATTTAGAAATCCTTTGGGACGACCTGTCGATTTTTGCAGGAAGGGAGACAGGTGGAACCAATGATAACAAGACAAACACTTCATTAAAACCTGTTCAAGCTTCCCTTGAATTCCCGCGCGTTCCGTTAGCGGACCAATTATCTCGCGAGAAGAAGGGTCCTCACAAGACTCAAACTTCCTCCCTGTAACGCCGAGGTTCTCTGTTGGTAAACTAAATTCCGGGGTGCAGTGGGAGCTCTGTGGCGCCGCCTCAAATCCCTCAGAAGTAAACCCCTATTCCCCTCCGAGAGCCAGGCCTTCGACCGCTATGGAAGGACACCAAGGGCAAGGAAGTCATGCTACCCTAGCACTCGCCCAGGCTCATTTTGACAAGGGGGAGTACGCGGAGGCCGAGGCGCTGTACTCCGCTTATATTCGCCAGGGCGCAGGTGCAGCCCCCGTCGGCGCGCATCCGGGGAGGTAACTATCGCGAGAAGTGGGGCGACAGTGTCTCGGGCTTAAGGGTGCGTGGCTGGGATCGTCTAGTCCCCACGTTACTTCACCGGAGTTCCGGGGCCGGTTGTGTTTCGGAAAGACCGAGGCGAGGCTTAGGACATGGCCGGGAGAACCCGAGGCAGGAGCCCGCCTCGAGAAGCCGCCTCGGGAGCGCGCGCGCGCGCGCGCGCAGCCTCTGCTTCCTCCTCCGCCCCCGACCCCTGGTCCGGCCGCCCGGTCACTCCCCGAGCCCGAGGCGGGGAGCGCAGCGGACTGTCGTCCGCAGTTAGCGGAGATCCGAGACCCGTGGGGAGGTGGCTCGTCGGAACACCTTGCCGCAGCCTCGCTTAAACGTTGTCAGTTAACACAGACACGCCGTTCAAGGGTGTTTAGGAAGGCATTTCCTCACATTAAGGATTCCTAAAAAGTAACCATGATGATACCAAACAACCGGTCAGTGTTGGGACTTTCCTGATTGGCCTCAGTACTTTACTGTTACTGCCTGGTGTGTTATTAGCCATTGATTCTAGTTAGGTTGCATATCTGGACTCCGAATCTTTAATGCCCTCCTCCGTGTTTTTTTTTTTTTCTCTCCCCCCCTCCCAGCAGTTTATTTGTTGAGAAAACTGAATCTTGTGTCTTGAGAGTTTCCATATTTTGGATCTGTTGAATGCATCCCTCTGATGTCATTTAATGTGGTCATCTGTGAATTGGTAGTAAAATCTTGAGGTCTAATTGAACATTATGGCAAGCACATTTTATAAGCAGATGTGTGTGGTTCTGCTAGGAAGTATGTAAAGTCTGGTTGTTTTCTTTTTTGTGATTTTAGTGGCCTCACCTGCCCACATCCACTTGTCCAGAGCATCTTTGGGGTTTATTCCTGGATGTGTAGCATTTGTTGTTGCTTCAAGTTTTGCCTTTGTCGTACTTGTTGGTGGTGTAGAATGGACCAAGGTGAGGAAAGAACAGAAAGGGGCTGGTTGGATTTCCTTGACAATTGAGAGAGATCTGCACCATCCTCCTCTCCCCTGGAGGATTTGATTTTTCTTGTTCAGATGCCCGTAGTCTTTTGAAGTTTAATAAAAAACCGAAGACTTGATTCTTACCGTGTTAAACTCATGTAGAATTAAACTAGAAAGATAAAATTGTTCTCTCAAGAATACATTAGAATGATAGTTAATGAATGAACAGTGAGATGATGCCACCATCTCTGCCTTACACTGCCCCCCCTTGAAAAAAGAAAAAAAGGTAAACATAGGAAACTTAGTTTTCTATCCTTGTTTTGATCTCTCAGAATAGACCTGTCTAGTAGGTTTGAAAATATATTCAGCAGTAGATTATGTGGATGCCAACTAGACTTCCTCTATTGCATGTCTCAGCCCAGAACCCAAGTGTCCATAGCAAATGTAATTTTGGTCCTTTACCAACACAGGAAAAAAAATTTGCCGTGGCTTATTTGAAGGGACTTTATCATGTGTGTATTCTCATCTTGGCTTTGCTGCAGGACTGCTCCTTTCTCAGCCTCAGTTTCTCATCTGTAAAATAAGCCTCCACTTTCCTAACAGCTCTAAAATTCCTCTAGGAAGTCATGAATTGAAATTAAATTCTGTTAACTTTCCCCTCTAACTATATCCTTCAGAGTTTAAACTTGTTTTTAAAATATTGGGGCCCTGAGTTGTTTTGAAACACCGTTTGCATTCTTTTTTTAAAAAAAATATTTATTTTATTTTTATGTGGTGCTGAGGATCAAACCCAGGACCTTGCACATGCTAGGTGAGCTCTCTACCGTTGAGCCACAACCACAGCCCCCATTTGCAATCTTTAAATGCCTTATACTCTGAATGGTTTATCACATTTTCTTTTTAATATCCAAAGGTGCAATCATAGCTGTAATCTAATTTTCAAGTACGTTGTCTTTGCCAAAGCTAGCAAATGCTAAAAATCCACATTTGGATTAGGTAACTTGGTTAAATTTCATGACAAGAAATACTATCTTCACAAAAATCCTAACGTAAAAAAAAATTTTTAGTGTCAACTGTTATCCCATTTCTTTAAAATTGGAAGCAAAACTTCTGCATGAAAAAGTAGGCTTTTAGAATTTGTTGTAGTGAGATCTAACTAAATTGAACATTCTGTGTGATCCTTTGAATATAAGAATTTATAACAAAACTCTGAATCTTCAAATTTATAACTAAAACTTTACTGAAGTCCTGACACTTCTTTTTTTTCTTCAAACTACTGGATAGCAGTTTGACTAGTGTTCTAACAGACAGATGTAGGGCCTGTACCCTCTGGTTCTCCAACTTTTAACAGTGGTGTTAGTGGCATCTAGAAGTAATCTTGTATCAATCTGTAAGGGCTTACAAAACAGAGATTTTCTAAAATTGTGGCAGTTCCTCTCCATTTTTAGCAAACTTAGACTGAGTACCTCAGCTGACAGCAGTGGTTACAGTACTTATGTAAGATAAAGAATTGATATGTTAAGTAGCTGACCAATGTCACAGATATTTTCTAAGGACTACACTTTGCACTATAGGGTATAATGAAGAAATGACAGATAAGTTTAATCTGCAGCTTCTGTTTGGTTTGAATTTGAGAGTCACTTTTGAAAAAAAGAAAGGAAACAGAATCATCTCTGACTCAGAGAAGAATCCCTAATATTCTCTGTGCAGATAGTTGTCCAGTACAGAGAGAGTTTCAAGTAATGGGGAGGGGACTGAGACCTGTCGAACCGGTGGCTTCTTGGAACTGCAGGATGTCCAGTCCCCATAGGAAAGTCTGTTCACTTCAAGCTCTTGGGGCATCTCTGGAGCCTATCATGGGCAGAACTGATTCTGCACACAGAACTCCCAAGTTAACCAGAATCTACCCTCCCTTCAGGAGCCAGCCTGGTGTTCTTCAGCTAAGGCTGAAGAGAGGGCACCTCCATCCTGGAGATCACTCTCTGGAATCAATGTGTTGAATTTTCATCTAGGGTTAACTTGTATTTATTTCTTTGGTGGAAGATGATTTCAAGTCTCATTGTTTTAAGGTTACTTCAAATTTTGAAAGTAAATTTGGTGGTTCACTTTGTGATCTGTCCGTAGCAAACTTGAACTTTGGGCTGCCTTTCCCTTCTTGCTCAACATGATTTGATCTGTCTTCTTTGCCCTGCTGGTGTGTGCTTAGAAAATGAAGTCATTTTAATATTATATTCAGCAAAACATGTTGGCAGTGAATAGGAGTGTTGAGCACCCTATAAAATTCATGTGCTTTTCAATTTGACATCTTAGTTCTGTAGCCCTACAAAAGTAACGGGATTAGACAAAAATTCATTTCAGTTCCTTATTTACTTGCATGATTTTTCAGTGTAGATAGACAATGCATGTTATAGGTTATGAAGTTTGACAATGCCCAAAAGAGTATGAAAATGGAAATGAGAGGAATTTGGTAACACTGTGAACTTTTTGTTTAAAGCAAATGCATCCCTGAGGATTTGGCTACTGCGTATAACAACAGAGGGCAAATCAAGTACTTGAGGGTTGATTTTTTTGAAGCCATGGATGACTACACATCTGCCATAGAAGTTCAACCCAGTTTTGAAGTTCCATATTACAACAGAGGGTTGATACTGTATAGGCTGGGTAAGAAATTTTTAAATTTATCTCTTTATTTTTGCTTTCCTTCATTGATTGTATTGTTATTTCAGAGCTATTAAATGTGAAACAAATGTAGCAGTCATCAAGTTTTAAAGGTAACACCAACTTTAGGATTGGAGCATGGAAGGAAGAAGAGTACCTGAGTTTATTTTAGGCTTTTGATGGCCATTGTAGATCACAGCAGAGCACTGGGGTGGGAATTGGACCTGGGTGCAGGAGTGGGGGGCACCCCATTACTTTGTGCCTCTGCATTCCCAACTGCATAATGAGGGTGATGGAGATGGTCACTTGTGACACTTTTCTGATTTAAGATCTCTGAAGACCCTTGAGACAATAGAAAGTGAAGAAGTTTCAGATCCCTTTATTAAAGGGACTGTGGATCCTGTTTCTCATTTAAAATTAAAAATAAAACTAATTTCCTATTTCTCAATTTTACTGCAATTGTATAGTTTTGTTAAAATTTTAGGACTTATGCTACTTAACCTTAACCTATTAAATCTTATAAATAAACCATAGCCAACTTCATTTTTTTTTTTTTTTTCTGCTGTATGGGGATCAAACCCAGGGCCTTGCACTCTACCCCCAGCCCTCCACAGTTAATTTTAGGTGTAATTATTCCATAAGAACACACAAAATTAATTTACACACCCCTATATTAAGAGTAAAAACTTGGTATACTACAAGTGGTCAAAAGCTCATAAACATAAAAGTTGTATATCCAGATTTTGCTATGAATAACATTCACAAATACTCAGCTTTTTTTCTCTTTTATTTTTTGGGTTCTGGTACAGGATATTTCGATGATGCTTTGAAAGATTTCAAGAAAGTACTAGACTTAAATCCTGGATTTCAAGATGCTATTTTGAGCTTAAAACAGACTATTTTAGACAAAGAAGAAAAACAAAGAAGAAATACTGAAAAAAATTATTGAAATTTTTAACTCAGTTGAAATGTTAATTCATGATCTTTACATCTGCGTCTAGGGGCTCTAATTTAGAATAGCTACTTTGATTTATATTTAAGATAAAAAGATTCATGCATTGGTACTGAGAGTTCATGTATTTAAAGTTGTTAATTTCAGGTCGAGAAACTGTTGTATGTAAATAAGTAATATTAATGTATAATTGCATATAATTATAGTAAAATATTTAAAGAAATGTATGGTATTTTCTTCAGTGGAACATTTTAATTTTTTAATTCCCAACTTATAATTAAAAATTTTTCATCTATAGAACAGTTGTAAGAATAATACAGTCAACATCTATAAGTTCTTCACTTGGATTCATTAGTTGTTAACATTGTGCCACATTTGTTTCTCCTCTACGTCTAAAATTAATACATTTTGCTGAACCACTTCATAATAAGATAAACATCACAATACTTCACCCCTAAGTGTTTCAGCCTGTCCCTTCCAAGAATAAAAAGCATCCTTGTTATAACCACAATATTATTATAATACCTAATATGAATTAAAGTGTCACAAAGCCCTCCATATCCAGTCCAAATTAGATTTACCAAATTATTCCCAAAATGTGTAGATGTTTTATTTCGGAGTCTATAACCAATCAGGTTTCATTGCATTGTGTTATGTCTCTGATTTCTTTTAATCTAGAATCATTCATCCCCTGCTCATTTTTTCCCCATTCCACTTGCTTTGAGAGTAAAGCTGTTTTTATGTGACCAGGATACACAGACATTTTGGGCTTAAAAATAAAGATATGTCCTGCAGGAGAGCAGTTTGAAAGAACTCAACTTATACTTAGTTTTCTCTAGAAATCATTGATAAGACATTAGAATTTTAAATATTGCACATACCTTTCTGTCTCTGGATAATGACCATAATTATTGTCATCAACTTTTACTGAATACTTACTATATAAGCAGCACTGTTCAAATTAATGTTTTTGCAGGTGGGGTGGGGTGGATAGAGAGGTAAGGATTTGACAGAAACACATGGTAAATGTAAAGCTTTGAAAGTTCCATTTTATCATGTGCTGCCAACAAGCGATTGCGTTCTGATGAGACTCTCTAGAACTGGGACGAGCTTGAAGGGAAAACAAGCCAAAGCCAGCACGTCCCATCTATAGTGGAATATTTTTATTGTTGTGGTTTGGCTTTCAAAGATACAGACCCTCATCTTGAGATCTACCAAACTAGTTGATTGCTGCTGCAGGAAAGCTGTTCTGGAATGGAAATTACCCTCCTGGGGAGAAAGGAAAGTGTGTTTGCCTGTTGTCTCCAGAGGAAGGCGCAGCCAAGCTTCGGTGGCCATTTGAGATGCAATAACCATCATCAGCCTTAATAATTTTCTTAATTTTTAAGTAAAAGAGATCTCACGAAGCAGACAAACTAATTGCCTTGTTTGTAGTTCATAAATAATATCTGGCAAGACACATGGAGAATTTGGGCTGCAGGTGAATGACTATGAAGAGGAAATTAAGTTAGATGGCCAGAAATAAAGTCTATATTCTGGAATTAGTCACATTTTCCAATAAGATTTATCTTTTCGTTTGTTGGAAATGTCTTTAAAAGAACTTATAAAGTTGCATGAAGACAGAAAAATCCCTTTTAAGAAAACTTTTTTTTTTTTTTTTAAAGCAAAGTCTCTAGACCTTGGGAGAGCTTAAAGCTATTCTGTTCAAGAGAATCAAATACTTAAATGCTACTTATATAACTGTATTTTTTTCTTGGCTTATATTCTCTTTACTTTACTCTTGCCTCGGATCAGATATAATATGAAAAAGAAAAATTGTTTTAAAAATTTCATTTGGTTGTCTGGATTTTATTATTCAAAGTTTCTTTATCCTTTTAAAGGAAAAATATCAGTGAAGTTCAGAATCAGCACTTCCTTATTGGGAATGGATGGACTTATTTTTTTTCTTGTTACTGGAAATAACAAGGGAATAATAAATTTACCTCATTTATGGTCTTCAAAATGAGGCATTATACATTTGGGTTCTAAGTTTCTGGTTGCCTAAATAATACCTTTGATATTTACCTTAAAGATACTCTTATGATAGTTCATTATTGTTCCCATACTTCAGAATTTGTTCAGTTCTTTTCATTTTCCTACTAGAAAAGTACCTAAATTGAATTGTTCCATTTTTTCCCTCTACAAAAACAAAGTAGAAGAGAATTATAGTTTGTTTTAAGAATTGTCTTTCTCAAAGTACAGTAAAATAGAATAAATGGACATGTTACTTTTGAGATTACAAAGTTATTCTTAACACTAATTGAGAAGCATGAAGCTATTTGTCTTTTTCGGAAGTCTGGAACTGAACAAAATCCTGGACTGACTTTACGATAGCAAACTATGGTACAGCTGGTGAAAGCAAGCTTAAATTTCCAAGTCAGCTTTTAGTCATCATCAGATTATTCTTTTCTGAATCTATGTTGGGTTTCTGTCTTTTACTAGCTTCTCTATCCTAAACAGCTTGGCCCTCTGCCATTTTGTAGGTCATAAGTCTTTCTCAGTGGGCATAATATAATTATCCTCACCACTCAGGGCAAATCAGTTCAGTATATATATTCTGGCCTCAACAGCCCATCTCTGCTGAGTCTAGTCCCCTTAAAAATTTAACGAGAAGTTTCAAATAATTAAACCTATCTCTTGCTTAACAACTTCCATTTGTCCCTGAAAATGCTTTTTCTAACTGAAAAGCCATTAAACAAAAAATATTTGTATTACTTTTAATTGGAAAAATTATGAATTCCATTTTATTCCATAATACTTTTCACAAGAAAACAAATTGTTTCAACAATGAAAACAAGTGTAACCATTGGAAAGTGAGCAATTTTCACAAAACTGTTATAACATGAATGTTTACTTTTTTTAATGCATTAAAAAAGCCTTATTGAGATAGAATTCATCTATTTGAAATAGTTAGATGGTTTTAAAGTATGTTCAGTTTCTGCACCATTTTTTTCAAGCTTTTTGGGTTTCGTGCTCTTCCTGCATGCAAACTGTACTTAATAGTGTTATAACACAGAAAAGCACCTTTAGGCAAATTAAAGACCAAGCATGGGTGTGCTTCAGAAACATAATAGCACATGCTCAAAACAGATCAAAGGTGCCACTTCTGGTTTTGTCCAAATATGCAGCATGATCCTAATTTGCTTCATGTGATAGTCTTTGGCTAGAAGCTGTGTTAAGGAAATTAGTAGGTATGTCTCTGCCTGCAGCTGTGGTGTTGAATTTATTTAGGGTGTTTAGGCTAATAGACTGTTATTTTTAAAAAAACTGATTGTTGACATACATGTGTTCTAACTTTTCAAGTGCCTAGTAAAAAGCAGACTGTGCTGTTGCTATGTGAGCTAAGTGTGTAATTTTAACTGCTTCTACATAAATTCGGATTTTAACATTTCCCATATTTCTAAAAAAATGTAACAGTAAATTAGGGGAAGGGGATTCCAATCACAAATGGCCAAATGGCACTTGGTCGGGGGTTGAAGGGAGACTGAGAGACTTGTTGCATTTCATATATAATGTTAGGAGACTTCAAAAGACCCCATTTTACTCTTTCTGAAAAGGAAAGGAAGATGGTAAATATAGTTTTTAGAAAAACTGTTAGGTTAAAAAACAGTTCATAGGTAAAAACAATAATCCATGTAGTAAAAGACAATTTAAAAACCTTGTAAGGGGGCTAGGGATGTGGCTCAAGTGGTAGCGCGCTCGCCTGGCATGCGTGCGACCCGGGTTCGATCCTCAGCACCACATACAAAAAAAAAAAAACAAAGATGTTGTGTCTGCTGAAAAACTAAAAATAAATATTTAAAAAATTCTCTCTCTCTCTCTCTCTCTCTCTCTCTCCCTCCCTCTCTCTCTCTCTTTAAAAAAAAAAACAACCCTGTAAGGAAGTAAAGCAGAAATTATGGGCTGTGAATATGTACATAACCATGGTATAGCACTGTGGATCAGCATACAGTCATGCATGTAGCAGGGCAGTGAAGAAGGTCTTTTTTCACAGGGGAGGAAGCTGCAACTAAGAAATTCAGTAACTTGCTCAGAGTCTACCCCAAATCCTTACAAATATCTGAAACTGCAGTTTGTACCAATTTGATGATTTTGTTGTTGTTGCTGGGCAGGCATCAACTCAAAGCAGATATATAGACTTTTTGGGTCCTGATAAAAAATTTAAATTGCTCATAAAATGTTTTAATACTCATCAAGGTAAGTATCCAAATGATGTTAAAATATATTTCATTTTTATAATGCAACATTATTGCAATGCTAGAATTGCTTGTTGGTCTTTTTTCTTTCTGATTGAAAACAGACACAAAGGATGGTGAAAAGCAGATTAATATTATGAGCAAACTCCATTTGGAAACTTTAAAACTGTGGCTGCCAGTATGTAAATTTGTATCTTATGTTAAGAAACAGCATCCAACACTTAGAAAAAAGGCAAAAGGAGGAATTGCATGTTCTTTCAACATCATACCGAGCTGTCTAACAGACCCACTCGAGGACTGTTTAATTCTACTCTTGATTGGGGGCCAGACTCTGAGGTTACATGTAACTTGTCAATTTTTGTTCAGAGGAGATGCAAATGAACTGTCTGGTAGAAAAGATAACCCTAAAAGCTATGGTTTTGTTGCCCTAAAGAATGCTAACCAGTTTTGCATCTAACCTGGCAACTTTATTCCCAGTTCTTCATTGCCCATAAATACTTAGCTTTTCAAATGCTGTCTTATCACCTGGGTGGTTCTTTCATTAATGAGTTAAACATTTATCATATTTTCATTCCGTGTTCTTTTAGGAGCCATGCCTAACTTTTCAAAGTTTTAGCACTGCTATTGAAAGAAATAAACACTGTAAGGATTATTTTTATCAGGTATAAAAGTAAAGGGGGACTGAAAGTTTCTATTTTCATGTTGCCTGTTTCTTTAAAATATTCAGCCCTGTTTGGATTGTATGGACATTTAATTGAGTTCTGGGTAAAGCAAAATATAGGGAAGACCTTTATCTTAAATTAAAACACATGTGAAAGTACTCCTTTAAGAAGTAGCAAAAGCTGCGGAATATAATGTAAAAAGTAAAAGTTCCCCCATTACTCCCTTTCTGACTCCCTTGGGTCACCATGGTTCATATCTGCCCTTCCAGGCCTTTTTCTTTGTACATATATATGGGCACATGTATGCACACACATGCAAAGAATTATGTTGTATGTACCATTATTCGGTAACTTAAATAATTTATCTTGGCCATTATTCTCCATGAGGACATAGAAATCTACTTCATTTTTCTTAGGCCTATAATTTTAAAACCATTTTAAAAATGATTGCCAATTTTTTGTCATAAAGTGTATTTATGGATATGGAAATGACAATTAAGTAATGACAATTATAGTAAGGAGATGTAAATGAAGAATTAAGACCCTGCCCCACGTTCCCCTCCAGAAGTAATCACTTTTAACCAACACAGTGGGAAGCCATGGGTTAAAAGCTCCTTTTCTGATTCCTGCCAGTTACTTCTTTAAAAATTACTTGTATTTCTGTTCACTACCTTAGTGACTGTTTTTTCTAGGCAATTTTGACTACCAAGACTACCTCTGAATATATTCTTTTGGCAGTCTATTGTTTTGAACCTATTTCCACTTAATTATAGAGCTCTTTTAAAGATTATAGAGTTGATGTGGCAAAAACTCACCTTATCCCAAACCGAGCTTTCAGTCTTGCACCTGTAGCTGATGGCATCTCTACTGCACCAGATGTTCAGGCTTGACTTCAATTTCAGTATACCAGTAGCAGACCCAGATTCCAGCAACTTCCATCTCCTCATCCCAGGATATGACTCTGTGCCTTACAAGTCTCCTGCTTTGCTCTCATCTGCAAAGTATACTTCAACACAGTCACCAGAATGAGGGGTAGATCTCAGGCTAGTGCCCAAAAACTTTGCTCTTGCTGTTTCTGCCATGCATTGCTTGCCCCTTGGCCTTATTCTGGCCCTCTTCTGACCACTCTGCTTAAAATTGCAAATCCTGATCATACTCATGTCCCTGTATTTTTTTTCCATCTGCCTGTTTTCTTCCCACTGGCAGGTAGGGCAGGGGTCTGTGTCTGCTTTGTACATTCCTATACCCTCAGCCCCTAGGACTGTGTGTGGCAGGCAGAAGAGCCTCAACTGTGTGGAGTGGTTCAAGGAACAACTCAATTGGAATCTGCTTGTGCACTTGCTGTCTAGAGTTTGCGGATTCATCACTGGCTAATAGGTATGAGGTGGATAAGACCCTGAGAAAGGACCCAGTTTGTAGTTAAGTTTTCATTTTTCTTAGAACAGCTTACACTTCTGGTTTAACTTAGAGGAAGAAAGTCTCTAAGAGGTCAAATTCAGCAGGGACTTTTAAAAAAAATACAGCATTGTAACAGGTACCTGTGATGGCTTTAATGGAATTGATTTAAAAATAAAGATATGTGAAAGCCACAGATACCTCTGATGAGATGTTATTTGGGAATGAGATTACTGCAGATCTGATTAGCCCAGATGATGTAGATGGAAGCCAGATCCTTCATCCACCATTCCTAGTGTCCTTATGTGAATGGTGTTCTTATTAGGAAAAGGACATTTGAACACAGTCACGGACCTTCCATCATGAAGGCCTTATGAAGATGGCAGGAGAAGTTGGAGTGGTGCTGCCCCAAGTCAAGGAGTACCCAGGGCTGCCAGAAACTGGAAGAGCTGAGCAGATTCTTTCCCTGTCATTGGAAGGAGCATGGTTCTGCCTACATCTCCATTTTGGACTTCTGGTTTCCAGAACTGTGAGAGAACAAATCTCTGTTGTTATAAACCACCCAGTTTGTGATATTTTGTTAGGGCAGGGCTTGGAAACAAGAACAGTACCCAATAAATAATCCAATTTTCAGGCAACAAGCCTTTTGTGTATTTTTGTGTTTTCGCACCCACAAATGAAGCTCTATTGAGAAAAGGATGGGTCTTTTGTTGGTTTAGCCTATAAACTAAAGATTTCCAAGGCAAGGGAGGGTAGAGAGAGGGCTGTGTTTCTTTATTTGGTCATGACCCTGACTGAATCAGGAAAGGAACCCATGACTAAGCACCATACAAAACATGCTGGTTTGCTCTGGCTGCCTGCTGAGAAATTTATTACCACCCTGTGTGGCTTCGAGGCACTCAACTTTTGGAGAACTGAGGCTCCCCTGACTTGAGATTGGAAGAGAAAAGTGGGAGTCACTCAGGCTGCCAAACAACAAACCATTACTAGCAAGCCAGGTGAAAAAATATCCAAGTTGGCTGAGCAGACAGGAATGGGAGCTGTCAGTCTGGGGCTCACAGAACAATAATTATTTCCATCATGAAGACCAGCTGCCAGTAGACTTATTGGAATTGGACCAGCTTCTTGAATGGGGAGAGTGAGGTGGACACAAATGGAGTGAGGCGCCTGCACGTGGAGCCCCAAGCCTCGATCTGTCACTTCCACCAGCATGTGACAATGGCTGGTGTCCACTTTTCTACCTTTGCTGCCTTTCTAAGTATTCTCTCCAGGAGCACCTTCTTTTTCTCATTTACTTAAATTGTCTCATTTTTCAAGGACTAGCCTAAGTTCCAACAACTCCCATTAAACCTTCTACACCAATATCAACCCACTCACCCCCATTCTCCAATCTCTATGACACTGATGGTCTAAACGGAGCACGCTGGCTGCTGAATGTGGTCCACAGACTGGCAGCCTTGGCATCACCTGGCTTTGAGAGAAATGCAAAAAAGGTATAGCTCAGTGGTAGAGTGTGTGCTTATCATGTGTGAAACCCTGGGTTCAATGCCCAGCAAGCCAGAAGCAAGAAGGAAATGCTGCCTCTTGGGCCTGTGCCTGACCTACTGAATCAGACTTTACAGCCTAACTGATCCCGAGGTGGTTCCCATGTATACTAAGGCATGGGAAGCACTGGCCTGTTGCGTTCATTCTCAGTGTGGTCTTTGGACCAGCAGCACCAGAAGGAACCAGGAGCTTGCTCTAAATGAAGATTTGGGCCCTGCTGAAAAGTAACTAAGTCTGACTCCATGGAGGGAGGCCCAACCATCTGTGATTTAATGAGTCCTCTGGAGATTCTGATGCACACTCAGGTTTGAGAACCACCCATCCATAACATTTAGCCTAGCTTCTAAGTATGTTCTTTCATTCCATGGGTGTTCATCTCCTTCTTCAAAATGGGGATTTGGGAGCAGGAGCCACGTTGGTTGTGTATATTTTTGGCACTTAGTCCTATTCTAAGCCCAGGTCATTCATGTCCAAGGGTCATTGAACAGTTTTTGTTCCCCCTACCGTCTCTGAACAATCAGAGAGGGCGGGGAGCAGTACAGGGCAGCGGGAGGCAGACCTCCTTTTGTAACAGCCTCGAAGGACTGAGTTTTTGAGAGGTATTATGCTTCCTCTTTCAAATTGGAGACCGGCAATACCATGTAATTTTGTTATCTCATCACAGCCTGACTTGATCCAGAATTCTGTCTCCAATAGTTTTATGTGGGTTTCCTCCCTGGAAAAAGTCATTTTTATTTGCTATTAAAATAAAGCATGCTGGCTGACTTCCTTTTTCTGGATCAATAAGTCCTTCATCTGGGCAGTGGCCGTGCTGGCTCCTTAGGCTTGCAGTATCAGTGAGAAGGAATCTCAGACATGACTAATGTACAGCCTCCTCAGGCTTCCTGCTCATGAACTCTCATAAATCGCTGCTGTGTTCCATCATCGTCCATTAACGCCGCAGCAAGAGTTCTGGGCTGGAGAGCAGATCGTCCTTGCCCCCTGTGCTCTTCCTCCTTGGGCTGGCTGCTAACTTTCAAATCGCCAGACATAATTCCTTTGGATTTGCTTAATGGGCATACAATTTTCATCAGTCATAGAACTTTTGAGCTGGAAGGAACCAGATGAGCTCCTTTATTTTACAGGTAGACCAACAGAAGAGGAACTTCTGGATTAAAGTTTATGTGATTGGTTAACAATAGAATTATGACCAAAGCCAGTTCTTCTCTCAATTTGGAAGAGTAGTGGTGACTTCCAGTTAGGGGAGCCCCTCAGTTACACATATATTCATTAATTCTGACACCAAACCTTAGACCCACACCAGTATTCAATTATTTGCCCAGGACCATCCTCTAGGATTGGAGCCCTTGACCCAATCCTGTGTGGAATTATGCACAGGCTCAGCGTCTAACTCAGAGAAGAATGTTATGGGCACCCAAATCAAGTCCCCAAAGTAAACAGGATGCTCAAACCATAGATGAGTTGCGGGGAGGCACATGTCTCAAACTGTGGGCTATAGGAAAGGAAGCTGGCCTGAAGGACCTTGGGAAAAGGAGACATTCCAACCCCACCAGGTTTCTGCTCACTGGTTACAAATATGGGAAGGAGAATAGTAATTTCAGATTAAACCCCAGGTCCAGGGGAAGACAACCTATTGGAAGTAGGGGTGGGAAGGAGGGTGAGAGATCCGTTAGAGCACCTTCCAATAAGGCAAGTGTCCGCTATTTTCCATGTATCAACATGGAAGCTGCATAATAACCCTTCAAGAAAGGCAGATCTGTTTTTACCAAAAGAGACCATCAGGTGGTTCAGTGAGGCTGTAGCCAAAATTAGGAGACAGCCCCCAATTCTATTCTTTATACCCGAGTTTCTTCCAGGATGACTAACTTGTCCTGGCTTGCCCAGGACTTTCTCTGTTTTGAAACTGGAAATTCAGCATCCCAGGAACTCCCTCAGCCCATGGCAAGCCTTGCTCCTCTGTCTTTTTGTCCCACAGAGGACAGGAGTTCTTGCCAGAAGCCACCCTGGCCTCAAAGGTACTGAGTTAGGCCTGCTCTGCTTAGCTGACTGGCGCCTGGCACCAGGGCAGGCTTCTGGCTCTGCAGTCCCGTGGTGGAGGTGGGATGGAGCCACAGCCCTGGGGCTGGTTGTGGCTCTGCCAGCCGCCAGGCCATCCCACTGCACTTTCCTGTGGCGGGTTGGTCATGGGTAGGATTGTGGCTGTCTTTTTCTACTTTAAGTCACACCTACAAGAAGTGGGACATGAGGGAGACAAGCAGGAAGACAAATGACTCAGCCCCTGGGACCAGTTCTTCTGCCTGGGGAAAAATATAATTGCAAGGGTCAAAAACTTATTCAGAGTTGCCTCAAGGCAAAAGGGACTATATTTGAAGGACACAATTCTCACAGCAGCAAGATCAGGTTTCATGAGCAGCTTGGAGAGTGGAGAGTGGAAATAGCCTCTCACCTGCTGGTCCTGTCCAGCTCAGCCTTGCTGGGGTTCTGAAGGACCAGTAGCAACATGAGGTTTAACTAATTGCTAATGTGGACAGGCAGATCTGGAGGCCATACTGGGCTTCTCTGGGAGAAGGACTGGGTAGGAGAGAAGGGGACACTTCCTTGGCAATAGAGTTTCAGAATTAGGACATGATCCTAGCTGGCGGCAGAGCAATACAAAAGGGGAAGGGCTGAGCTCTGCAGCTTGGTTCTTGAACCCCACTAGTGGGGAAGTCACTGGCCCATGGGGGGTAGGGGTGGAGAGGAAAGTAGGTGAAGAAGTCCCTGTAGTCCGAGCCCTGGATTCCAGCCCACGTGGCAGTGCCTGGGCTCAGCTAGACCACAGGTGATGGCAGATGTTCCACTGTCGGCTCTTGGACTTCACAGAGTGCTCCCCCTTCCCAGGCATTTGCTACTTTCACTTTTTAGAGCAGTTCAACTTTTAGACAATGACAAATGACAACATGCAAATCCCAGTCTCAGCCTTGGCACTCACTAAAGCCCTGCGGATATATCCCCTTCTCACCGAATACTGGGGTGACTATTGGGATGGATTGAAGCATCCCTTATATGTGAGCCAACATTTTGTGCTTAAAATGTTCTGCTTTTGTTTTTTGATGTTAGTGTTTTAAAAATCCTGATAATGAACTGGTCTTCAATGAGGAGAATTCACCACATTGAAGCCTTTAGAGTACAGCAGGGGCTTAGGAAGTCAGGGCTCTTCCCCCCAAGGCCAGTAGGCCCCACCCCCTTATAGCTAACCCACACCTGATGCTTAGCTAGGTTAACAGATGGACCACCCATTTTTACAGTAAGAAACATGGCCCTTTTGAGACAGCTGCATGGGCCAGAAAAGAGTGTGGGCTGAGCTGAGGCCTCCGTCCATTACGGCATGATCTGGAAAGGAGGCCAGCTCAGTAACTGGGCTCAAGGGAAACATTCTTACCACCCTCCCCCAAGACTGCTTCGAGACCTGGCCAGGAAGGGCCCCAAATAAGAGGCCTGTATTTAAACCATGAGCTCTAATTCAGATCCTGATTTGTGAACTCAGAATTGAGCTAAACATTGACCCTGAGAAGTGATGATGGTCTTACAGACATCACTGGAAAACACTCATGTGGAGAAGAGGGACAAGTGGGTATAACCAGTCCTATGACGCAGAACGTAACCATATTCCTGAGAAGTCAGGCCAACTCCTAAGCAAGAGGAGCCAGGTCACAGGCAGGAGCACTGAATGCCCCTGGAGTTCTGGTTCTCAGGCCTGAGGTGGCTCCAGGGCAGTTTTTCTTCCACTGAATGACTCTAGGGATGATAACTATTCTTGTTCCTGTTTCCTCCTTGCTAATAGGTTTGTTGGTACCTGAGGAGCTGAACAACTTTGCTGAAGTTGATCATCTCACTTTACTAAACAAATTCCAAGTCAAGGTCTCAAGGGCTTCTGTGGAATGCTGAGAGTTCTCCCTGATTTGGCAAAGGCCAGGATCTCTGAAGTGGAGCACTACTGGAAGGACAGCAGGGTGCTGTGTGCTTGGGTCTGCCTCCAGATCTGCCTGTCCACATTAGGAATTAGTTAAACCTCTTGTTGCTACTGGTCCTTCAGAACCCCAGCAAGGCTGAGCTG